GCAACGCCGCGGAGGAGGAAGCAGAGATAGGTAGAGCGAGGTGCCCTGTGACTCACCAGCCACCAAACCACCCCAACCCAACACGAACGCTCAAATTTACCGTCGATTTCCAGCGGGGGGGGGTTTGAAACATCGACACAACACAGGTGGAACCCTTGCCCCCCCAACCCGAAATTTGGGTCTTCGGGTTGGGTTGGGGTGCTCTGGTAGGTAGTCAGAGACGCTGGGGGTGGTCGTGCGATGCCACCTCCACGGGCAGAGGTCGCAGCAGACCTCCAGGAGCCTCCCAGGGCCTGCATGGCCCGCCAGGTGGTCCGTGTCCCTGGACTTCGGACGGAGTGTTTTTTTCGGACGCTCTTGTTTTTTGTTTTCTTTGTTTTTGATTTTCATTGTTTTCGTTTTCGGACGCTCTTGATTTCTTTGTTTTTTGTTTTTGGACGCTCTTGTTTTCGGACGCTCTTGTTTTTTTCGGACGCTCTTGTTTTCGGACGGAGTTTTTTTTTTTTTTTTTTTTTTTTTTTTTTGACTTCGGCAGCTGAGGGCCGTTTTCGGGCCCCATGGCCATCTGAATTGGCTCTGGGATGTGAAGCTGCCCCCAGGGAAGGTGCCGAGACCTCGGCCCACGGATTGAGAAAATGAAGCTGTCGGAAGTCTGGGTCATACCCGCCCCGCGGGTCTCTAAGGAGGGCTGCGGCAGCTTGTGGGAGTCATCTGCAGCGACTGCCAGAAGCCTCCCATGCAGAGGCCCGAAGTGCTCCGTGGGGCCTCCGGGAGCCTCCACGGGGACCCCCATGGGGCCGCCTGGAGGGGGAACGGAGGTCCACGGTGTGTCTGCGTGGGTCGCACGAGGCCCTGGAGCCTTGCGATGGGGGGCCCTCCGCTGGGGCGGCCTCTTCGGCTTCCCGCGGCATCCAGGGTGCCCCCGTGGGCCTCTGGTGGCCTCCAGGGTTAAGTCGGGCACGTCCCTCTCCAGGAGGCATATTCAAAAACAGTTTTGAAAATAGTCAGGGGAAGATGTTTTGACTACTTTTGGGCATTTTGTGTGTATTTTTGGACAGTTTTAATTGTTCGGCCCGAAGTCCGCCTGTAGGAGGACATGCACGACCTAACTCGAGGGCGCCTCCGTGGGGCCTCTCCCGACGGGGCGGTCCAGCAGCGGGGCCGGCAGGGGCTCGCCGAGGCCCTCGTTCGGTTAATTGTGGGGAGGCCGCTCTGCCAGAGCGCTTCGCTGAGATGCCCATGTGCCTGCCTCCTCCCTCCTCCCCCCTCCTCCCTCCACCTTCCTCCCTCCCTCCCTCCTCCCTCCCTCCCTCCTCCCTCCTCCCTCCTCCCTCCTCCCTCTCGGGGGGCCAGGTCTCGGCCCAAGTTGCCGAGACCTGGCCCTCCGAGATGGCCCCTCTGTCGTCCACAGCCTGGCGCGACTGGAATCGATTGGTCAGGGCGGTGCCCTCGGAGAAGCTGGGGGGGGCGATTTTTGAGCAGAGCTTCGGCTCTGGAGGGGGAAGGGACACCTGCTTTTTGTTGTTGTTGTCGTCGTCGTCCTCGATGTTATTGCTGCTGCTTTTGTTGTTGTTGTTGTTGTTGGTGGTGGTGGTGTTGGTGGTGTTGTTGTTGCTGCTGCTGTTGTTGTTGTGGTTGTTGTTGTTGTTGTTGTGTTGTTGTTGTCGTCGTCGTCGTCGTCGTCGTCGTCGTCGTCGTCGTCGTTTTTTGTTGTTGTTGTTGTTGTTGTTGTTGTTGTTGAACATTATTAATTCTAAAGAATAATTATTGTTGGGACCCCTGGTGCACGGCCCCCCCGCCGCGCCTAGGCCGCAGCTACATTTTCATCATTTTCGTGAGGAAGCCTCAGAAAAGTGGATGGGGTCCAGATCCGGTTGTTTTGTTGTAATCCGTTTTCCCTTGCAAAAAACACTATAAAATGACATTTCTTGTTCTAATATAATCAAATTTCAAGAATCCCTTGCAAAAAATAAGGTAAAGTGGACATTCGCGCGCGCAAGACGAAATCCTTCCAAAAGCTTAGTGTTCGGAGCGATTTTAACATAAAAACATCAAAAAACCAATGGTTTTTCAACAAAAAAATGTCAAAATCTCATCCCGCGCGCTCTTGCGGATTCGTAGGAAACCCAACACTTTTTAAACATTTCTGTCAAACGGGCTTTTGCGAGCAACTTTTTCGAACTTCTGCGACAACGGTTGCGCACCTGCCAGGGCCATCATCCCTGTCAAATAATACCATGCGGGACACATTCGTTTTTTCTTCGCGCGCGCACGCCGAAATCTCCAAAAACCATTGGGTTCTTAAGAATTTTAGCACCGCGCATCATAAAATCACACGAATCGCACCGTAGGTCCTCGAAAAACACCTGCACGACTTTTCAAAATTTCCACCCGCGCGCGCTGTCCGAATCCTAAAAAAACCAATGGTTTTCCAACATTTATGTTACATGAGCTCGCGCGAGCTACTTTCGCACGCTCTTGCAACGGGGTTCGCGCGCCTGCCAGGGGCCATAATCCCTTGCGGTTGCGCCATAGGTTGCGCCCTCGGCCGCCGAGAATAAAACGCCCCCCTATTGGTTGCGCCATAGGTTGCGCCCTCGGCCGCCTGTGGTGTGTACTCCACGCCAGTGTAGTAGCCACGGTCGTCCGCAGGCCACGAAGTGAAGTGTCCGAACGTCATAGGGCGGGAAGCTGGGTGTGGGTGGTGGCGAAGAGTCGTGTGGATATTTGGTAGAGCTTGCACTGCCCCCCCACAAAGTGGGGGTATTGGCTGGCGTCGCATGAAAACCCTGGCACTGGTGAGAACACTGAGCGTTCGGGTAAAGTGATTGTTGTTGTTGTTGTTGTTGTTGTTGTTGTTGTTGTTGTTGTTGTTGTTGTTGTTGTTGCTGCTGCTGTTGTTGTTGTTGCTGCTGCTGCTGCTGCTGTTGCTGTTGTTGTTGTTGTTGTTGTTGTTGTTGTTGTTGTTGTTGTCGTGTTTATGTTTGACGCGCGATCCATCAGCATGATAGACCCACGAACCTGGAAAAGGAGTATAGAAATGTGTGGCATGGCAACGTTTTATCAAGACACCTGATTGGACGACGGGCAATTGTAATGCTGAGTGTATCGATCTTGATGTGCCGTGCTACGGGCTGTGCTGTGCTGCGCGGTGCTGACTTGCGATGTGCCATGCCGCGATTGTACTCTATAGCGGTGTGGATCGAGTCTTCCTTTGCATCCGAGTCTAGACCGAACTGTTCTGGATCTGAAGCTCGAGCTGCCTGAGCACATAGTAGCTGCCCCAGAACTAGTTTAAGTGGAAACGTGCGGGACGTTCAATCAACTCGACCTCAAATCCAGCTCAGCTCTGAGAAGGAACGACACGACACCGGGCACAGGCTCACGGACACGCCACAGGATGTTCCAGGGGCGCAATCGGGGATGTGCCAGGGGGCGTGTCAGGGGACGTATCAGGGAACGTGCCCTGGACGTGAAGGGACCTGCCACGGGACGTGCCAAGGCGCGTGCCATGGGGCGGCCAAGTGACGTCATGCCAAGGGACGCTGCAAGGGGCGCGCCACGGAACGGGTAAGGGAAACGCCTGGGGACAAGCCAGGAAACGCGACAGAGGACGAGCCAGGGAACATGCCACGCCGAGTGGCGTGCTGGGGGACGTGCCAGGGCACGTCACGCCAGAACGTCGCAAGGGATGCGCCACGGGACGCGTTAGCGCGCCAGGGGACGCCCCACGGACGGGCAAGCTTTTCGCTCGAGACATCAACAAATCCTCATGTTAGGCATATGCCTGGACAAGCGTATCGCTCGAGACATCCTCAACCCATCCTCATGTTAGACATCTGCCTGCGCAACCTGGACACGTGAAACCAAGCGTTTCGCTCGACATGTTCTCAAAACTTCCTCATGCTCGACATCTGCCTGGACGACCTGGACGCGTGAAAACAAGCGTTTCGCTCGAGGCATCCTGCCAACATCCTCATGTTACACATCTGCCTGGGCGACCTGGACACGTGAACACAAGCGTTTCGCTCGACACACCCTCAACACATCCTCATGCCAGATATCTGCCTGGGCGGCCTGGACACGCGAAAACAAGCGGTTCGCTCGAGACATCCTCAACATACCTTCATGTTATACATCAGTTTGGGCGACCTGGGCACGTGAAAACAAGAGTTTTGCTCGACACATCCTCAACACATCCTCATGCCAGACATCCGCGTGTGTGACCTGGACACGTGAATTCACGCGTCTCGCTCGGGACTTCCTCAACACATCCTCATGCTAGACATTCGCCTGGGCGACCTGGACACGTGAAAACAAGGGTTTCGCTTCAGACCCTCTCAACACATCCTTATGCTAGACATCCGCCCGGGCGACCTGGGCACTTGAAACCAAGCGTCTCGCTCGAGATATCCTCAACACATTCTCATGCTAGACATCTGGGTGTGCGACCTGGACCCGTGAAAACAAGCGTCTCTTCAGAGACATCCTCGACAAATCCTGATGCTAGACATCTGCCTGGGCGACCTGGGCACGTGAAACCAAACGTCTCGCTCGAGACATCCTCAAGACCTGGGCACGTGAAAACAAGGATTTCACCTGAAACAGCCTCTGAATCCTGGTCCCCAGGAGAGGAGCAATCTATACCACAAAACAAGCAAGACATCCTCAACAAGATCTGCAAAACAAGCGTTTCGCTCGAGACATCTGCGACAGACGATAATCCTTACCTTACCATGTGTTTTCTCGATTGGAATTTAAAATCCAGCGTTTCGCTCGGGACATCCTCAAACATATTTCCGCCAGCCCTTCCCGACTACGATATTTTTTTCAGGGACTACTTCCGTCGGCCCTTCCCCACCATGACACCAGGGACAAGTTTACCAACTCAAGAAGAACCCTGGGCTCAGGCCCTTTCCAGGAAAAATTGGAAGAAGAGGTGGCGCTGACCGTTGGCACAACGTTGAGAGAGCGGCATTCCGCAAGCCAGCGGTGGCATAATGCACTGTCGCCCCTGCGAAACGTGGGTTGACGCGCGACGGTGCCCTTCGAGTGTCGCAGCCGTAGCCGTGCAGCGAGTCAAGGTTCCCATATCTGCAAGAGAGCCGATGGACGGTGACGGCGTCGGCGGCACTGCGCAAGATGCAATCTCATGCTGGCTGCACGACTTCCAGCTGTCTGCGGGCGAGCCCATTCTGCAGAAAGCTGGCGTAGAGTACGGGAGCGAGGTCATGTGGTGGAGCGACTCACGTCGAAGGAAACGCCCGCACGAGGGTATCGACATAACGCTCGCGGATGCATGCAGCATGCGCAGCTTGCCCCTGCGATTTGCCGAGCCAGGGCGCGTCGTAGGCATCATTGATGACTTCTTGGGGCGCACTGTGATCGTGCAGCGGCCCCGCCACCGAGAGCAGTTCTGGTTGTACGCCCACGTCGAGCTGGCCGACGACATCGAGCTGGGATGCTGGGTTACAGAAGCGAGCTTTCTTGGCCACGCTGCCGCCTCAGCAACCAAGTGCCCCTCGCATTTGCACATTTCGCTCGTGGAATCAGCAGGGGTCATGTCGCCTACGGAGGCTTCGGACGCTTGGCAGCGTGTCACCTGGAGTACGATCCACGAGTGGGACTGGCTACGATTCGTGCCGCTCACGCTGCAGCTCCCCCAGCGGCGGCCGACGCACACAGAGCGCGGGCTGTGGTGGGCAGGGCTTCTAGGAGGCGTACTTCTGATTACGTGCGCAGCGGTGAGCAGGTATCGACGGCCTTGACGCCAATGGACGTGCTGCCACCTGAGCGCCCGCCGTTGCCCTCGCTGCCTGCGGTGGCCCATCCGAGGCTAGACGGCTCCGACGAGGACGCGTGGCCCGCCGCCGCTGCGCTCCGCCTGTGGCGCAGGCTCAGCATGCGGTGGTTTTCAACTGCGCGTCTGTGATTGAGCTGGGCGCAGGTGCGCGCGCCGTCGGACTGCCAGCAGACTGCGTCGGCGCCTGGCGAATCGTGCTGACCGATCGCGAGAGTGAGCCGACCGCGCCGCCGACTCGCGCACCTCGTGCTGCCGTATGGTGCGTGCAGGTGGCCCCGCTGGCCTGGGGCGTCGAGGGCGCGCGACCAGGGCCGGGCCTGCACGGCGCTGCAGCTAGCCCGCACACGGCAGCGCACCGTCCTGCTGCAGTCGCGAGTGGCACCGCGCACGGGAGGTGGCCCTCTGCGGAGCTGGCGGCGGTGCTGGCGGCGGTGGACAGCACCAGTCGTCGAGGGGATGCCGGCCCACGTGCACAGGGACACTCAGCGCGCGGGCAGGCCGTCCCAGCCTGACCCCGGAGGCGCGGAGCGCGGCAGAGCAGCGAACTCTCCGCGCTCTCTCGGTCGCGCCGGCCGCGCACGGGGTGCAGCTCGCGCTCGCGGAGCCGGGGGTTGGCACCGGGCGTGGCTGTGAGGAGGACGCCAGCCGCACACCTGGGTGCACCGGTCCTGGCTTGCAGCTGCGCCTTGCCGAGAGCGTTCCCGGGGGTGCCCGCGTCGTCCGAGTGGCCGCCGGAGACCCGTGTGATGACTCGAAAGCGGAGCGGCCTTCTCCTCTCAGGGGCAACGTCAGGAGGGGACAGGTTCAGGTGGGGATGCATCGCCCCCCAATGGCCCAGCCATCGTCGACAGGTGCCCGATGGCCCACGCCACCCAGGAGGGTGCGGATTCGCTTTCGGGAGCTTGTCCCCGATCGGTCGGTGATGCATCGCCGGCTCCAGTCGCTGTGTCCTCCCCCCCCCCCGAGACGGTCCCCCCCAACGTTCCCTGGTTGTGGAGGGGCCGGGCCGCCGGTCTGGTCACAAGATCGAGGTGGGGCCAGTGGCTGCGGGGGCTGCGCGGCGCGCGCTCTCCTCAGCGGTCTCAGATGGCTCGGCGGGCGTTCGCTCAGATTTCGGCTTTGCATTGTAGGGCTCTAGAGTTCGCATCCGTGACGCTGGCTCGTTGAGGGGAAATATAGAATCGACTGCGTGGCCCTTGTCTCCTGACAGCACACACTGTGTCGCCCTCGGAAGCGTTCGTGGGCACCATGGATCTAGCATCACATCTCCCGTGGAGAGCTGGCGGCTAGGTCAGCCGCCGTGCATGCCAGCTTAGGTTTGGTAATGGCTCACGCGGTCGCTGCTGGACACCTGCAGCTACACTCGAGAGCTTCAAGGTCATTGCAGTCCATGAGTCGGCGGCGAGCGAGGGGTGGAAATGAGAAGGAGAAAGCGCTCTCAGAAGGCGGCGGGGCTTCTCAGCAGCCCTCTGGCCTTCTGATCAGTTTTCAGTGTCTTCGGGCAAGGCTTAGAGGGCCTCTCAGAAGGCTGGGGGACCTCCGAGCCTTCTGGGAAGGCCCGCCCTTCTCACTTCCCCCCCGGGGCTTCGCCGCCGACTGAGAGGTGCAATCTGGACACAGTGGATGCGCACGAGACGACATCGTGTCACAAGAAGACCTAGGGGCACATGTGTCGTCGGTGCTTCTGGCTCCTCCTCCTCCTCCTCCTCCTCCTCCTCCTCCTCCTCTTGCTAACCATGGTGTCCCAGAGCTTTCGTGGGTCCCCCCAGTGCCGTCGGGGTGGGGCACCTCCCAGCAGGCCAGATCCTCCTTTGGCGTGCGAGGTTGTACGCTTCCTTCGTTTCGGCCTTTTCTGGGCCTTCTCGGGGGCCCTCGTCGCCACGTCGGGCTCCAAGCCTCTACGTCCTGGTCGAGAGCGCACGCTGGGAGAGTTCTGGGGAGCATCGGTCTCAGCATCTTTTGGCACACCCAGGCCAGGAGCGTCGTGGGGTCTCCCGCTGTCTGCCAGTTGTGCCGCCTGCCTGCGCAGCTGCACGCTCAGAGCACCATGGAACTGCGTCGGTCTCCCGGGCCTCGTCGAGGCTTCCTCCTGCCAAGGGTGTGGCGAGTCTCTGCGCGTGCGCGTGGCGGCGCCGCGCCCACTTCGGCGCACCGCTCACGCGCATCGCCACAGGGAGCGCCACCTGCGGCCTCAGGTGTGAAAGCCCGCATGGCGGCGCCGCGCCCACTTTGGCACGCCCCTCGCACAGATCGCGCCCCACAGGGAGCCTTACCCATGGCGTCAGTTCAAGGAGGCTTCCAAAGATCCAAGGCCCTCCGCAGCGCCAACCACTCCAGATGGATCGGACCCCCCAGGGAGCTCACCGCTCCCTCTTGCGCGCCTGCTCTTCCAGCCTTTCATTGTCCGCGCCAGCCCGAGCGTCACCCCTGCCGCGACGCGGAGTACATGAGGACAAGGCTTCGCCCGGCGCTGCTCGCAGGCTGCACAGGGTTGGGCCGCTCGCCAGGCTTAGTTTTAGGGCTTCCGGATGCCTCTGGAGACCTCTGGAGGCCTCCAGGGGCCGCTTCTGGGGACCTCTAGGGGCCTCCCCTCGCTTCTTCTCTCCCCCCCTCCTTCCCTCCCCCCTCGTCCCTCCCCCCTCGATCCGCGACTCCGTGAGGTGCACTGTGGCCACCTCGAAGACCTCGAGGGAGGGCAACTCCCGAGAGGGGCCCAAACGCCCAGTTCGTGGCAAGGCCAGCCTGGCCCCTGAGCCTGTGCGTCCACGACCCTATGGTGTAAGCACCTCTGGACAGGTTGCGAGGCTCCCTTCTCGGCTCGCTCGCCGCCGAAGGGCGCGTTTAGGCCACGGAGCCGCAGCCCAGAGCCTTGGCGGCCTCTGCTGGATAAGCCGTTGCACACTTTTTGCAGACCTCCGCCCTGGCCGAACGAGCAGGCTGCGCCGGCGGTCTGCATTGGCATCTCATGCGTGATCCTTGGGGAGCTCTCCTCCGTTCTCCTCTCCCCTCCCTGCTCCTGCCTCCTCCCTCCTCCCTCCTCCCTCCTCCTCCTCCCTCCTCCCTCCCCCTCCCTCCTCCTCCTCCTCCTCCTCCTCCTCCTCCTCCTCCTCCTCCTCCTCCTCCTCCTCCTCCTCTCTTCTCCCTTCGCCTCCTCTCCTGCCTCCTCCTCTCTTCTCCCTTCGCCTCCTCTCCTGCCTCCTCCTCTCTTCCCTCCCCTCCTTCCTTTGGCGGGAACGGTCGTCGAGGATATCTTCAGGGGTGAACTCTGGACAGCCTTCCCGTCTGTGGCGAGCCTCGCGGTGAGGCCCCGAGTTTGCTTCTGTTCCTCTCCCCTCGACCCTCCTTTGCAAGCGGTTCGTTTGGCTGTCGGACTTTGCTGATGCTAGCTTGCTTCAGGAAGGCGGGCTGGTTAGCACCTGGCCTCCCGACCCAGTGAGCCGCACCACCTGGCTGCCGCCTGTGGCGCTCGCGGTGGCTGCACCTTGGCGGCCTGGTCGGGCGTCAGACGCCCTGACCGTTCTTTGAGATGTTCTGTAGAAGAACCGCTATGCATCACACTCGCTGCGTTTTTCTGTAGTGTGTTTCCTTTCTCCCTTCCTCCCTCTCTCTCTCTCTCTTTATCCTCGCCCTCTTCCTCCCTTGCACTCGTGCGGGACGTGTCTTGCGGGCCCTGCGCAGGCATGAGCAGCTCGCCCTGGTTCTCGTGCCTGGCCGTCTCCCCGTCGCTGGTTTGCTGCTGTACGGGTGCCCGTGCCCGTGGCGGCCGCACGGGCACACCACACACTTTGGTGTTTTCCTGGCGGCAGTTGCTATTCTCAGCCATGTTTTTTAGTGGGCTGTTGCCCACAACCGAGCGTCGCACAGTCTCCGTAGTGCGGCCATCCAGGCGTTGATTCGCTCCTCCCTCTCCTTTTCTCTCCCTCCCTCCTCCTTCCTTGGCATTTCGCTGTGGATGACATCGGGCGTGGCCTTCCTGGCTTGTCTGGCGGCGCCCCGCCTCACGCCACGGTGACAATTCTGTAGTGCTGGTGGACGTTGTGTGGAAGAGTTCCCTCCTCCTCCCTTCTTCGCCCTCCTTCTCCCGCTCCACCCCGCTATGGCGACGACGATGCTGACATCGCCGACGACGACGCCGCCGACGCTGCGCCGATTCGGCCGGCACCGACGCGGACGCCGACGACGCACGCGGACGCCGACGACGCACGCGGACGCCGACGCCGACGCGGATGCCAACGCCGACGCGGACGCCGACGCTGACGCCGCCGAGGCTGCTGCCGCCGCGGCCGCGGACGGCGGCGACGACGGCGACGACACCGCCACCGACGACGCCGCCACGGACGACGACGGCGGCGACGACCGGCGGTGGCGGCGGCGACGCTGCGCGTGAGGCGTCCGATTGGCCCGTGGCCGCCGCGACGGTCACGCCGCAGGTGCTGCAGCGGAACCGCATCACGTTCGCGCTCAGCTCCTACGGGCAGGCCCCCCCTCGGCGCGGGCGGCGGCTGCGAGGAGAGGGCACCTCTTGTCCGCCTGTCCGAGGCTGGGGTTCATCCGTATCCACCGCCTGGGAGACTGGGCATTCCTGGACCTCGGCAGGCCGTAGACATGGAGAACTCCCCACCTCGCGGCAGGTTTCTTCTCCTGTTTCTGCGTGCTCACTTCTGGCATCTGTTGCGTCTGCGCGCTGGTGTCAGGCATCGCTTCGCACAAATGTGGTCGTAGGGGCGAAGCCTTTGGCGCAGGGATCCTCAGAACAAAATCGCGTGCGGGGGACCACCCTAGACATCTGGCGGCTCGACAAAATCGGGTCGGCCAGTTTCTCGCCTTTTTGTTTCTCTGAAAGCGTATGGTAGATGCTGATGATAAACCTGTTTATCTCATCCACGGCCCCGCGCGGGCCACGAGCTATCTGCGGGGGCGCCAGGCGCCCAGTACAACAAGCTCTAAAGGCCGGCCTTGCGGGCCGAGACGGGCAGCGGGCAGCGAGCAGCGGGCGAGGGGGCAGAGGCAGGTGCACTCAGAGGGGGAAGTAGACGAGGTACTGGTAAGAGAGGGTCAGGGCTAGGCGGGCTCCAGAGGGGTCCTCGGGTACACCTCCAGGGAATCTCATACTCATTATTTTTCTTTTGTAGCTCTGACAATCTCAGTCATCCTGCAAGTCTTCTTCTCGAACTCCTGCGGCCGAACGTTCACGTCGTAGTCGATCAGCTTCAGCTCGATCGGGTTTAGCAACTGACTTCCGTGCGGCCCTCTGTGATCTCTTCTTCTCCTTTATCTTCACTGCAGCCTGATCCTGCTGGATCGTGATCTGATTCGTCCTCAAGTAATGTCGGAAATAGTCCAGATCAACTCCCTCTTTCGTAAGAATATCCGCCAGATTCTGTAGTCCATCCACCCAACGTAGTGTCGTGTTTGGTTGCCTCAAAGCCTCCTTCAATAACGCTCCTTCTATTGCCATCCGCTTGTCTCGGCTAAGGCCTGATCCTTCTTTCGTCAAATAATCATGCACTGACTTGGCATCAGTCAAGAAAACTCTGCTTCTTCTCGCCACGATCTTCTGCCAATCCTTCAAATCGATCTTCGGATTGAACACCTCCTCAAGTAAAACACACAGCCATTCGCCAGCCTCCAGTGAATCTGCAAGATGTGAGGCTTCAGCTGCAAGTGTGCTCGGGCAAACTCTCTGTGTCGACTTAGAACTGTAATCCATCATAGCTGCGGTCACCAGCTTCCCCGACAACACGTCGTGGTCCACTATGAAGAGAAAATGACCACCGATGCTCTTGTATCTCGCGATCTCGTCACTCTCGGGGTTGCCGTTCGCGTGTCCTGAATCACATTCAATCAAGACCGTAGCTCGACTGAGGTCGATACCCTTCGGAAACTTCTGCATGTAGTCGGCGCCCCTCTTGCCGTCGTTGATGGCCCTGTTGACCTTCACCAGGTCGGCGATGCACGGCGCTACCATGGCTCGTTGAGCTTGTCCCGCTTGAAAGGCTAGATCTGCTCGAAGCTGCCTCGACAACCAAGATATCTCTCCCGTAGCCTTCCGTAGCCGTGTCACTTCGTCGTCGGTCAGCGGGCTCGTCAGCTCCTTCTTCCGTTCTCGAGGGATCGGAACCGTCTTCATGTTCAGCGAGTAGCCCTTCATCGTTACTCCAACATCGCCGTTCGGTAAACGTTGTATCTCACGTCCTCTGAAAACAAAATCCTCTTTGAGCCATTTCGAGAAATTCAGCTTCTGTCTCGTGCATCTGAAGGCCGTATCTTCGCATTTCTTTAAAACTCCAGCCAGCAAATCATCCACGTGAGTGCATAGAATACCAGTCAGAGCGCCTGCTCTGTCGCGTAGGTAAAACAAAGCTGGTTCCAAAACAGACTGAACCCATCCATCCTTCTCCAATACTTCGCAGAAAGCCAACCACAATAAACGAGCAGCCTCAGCAAACCCATATATCGCCTTCTTGGCCTTCAACAGTTGTCTCGGATGCAGTCCCTTTAAACCTCCACGCGGCTGGCTGATGTAGATCTCGCGTCCTATACCTCGACCTGAGAAATAGGCGTTCTTGATGTCTCCGCAGATCATCACCATACCCATACTGGCGATCACGAGCAGCACCATTGCCTCCGCCAACTTCGATGCTGTTGGCGCATCTCTCCGATACTCGCCGAGGCTCTTGTCCTTGAAGCCCTGGACCACCATCCTCGACTTCGCCTCGAACTCGGCGTCCAGAACGCCCTCACTCTTGTTGGTTCTCACCCACTTGGCCGGTATGATCAGGTCGCGCTTGGTCTCCCAGATCTGCTCACTCTCGCCGAGGCTCAGCGTGTCGCAAGCATCCAGATCTTGCCAGGCCTTCCACTCCTTCTCGTCCGAACCTCCAGGTCCGATAAATAGCTGTCGCTTTGCCTCGTCGAGCTCCTTCAAGTGTAACTCTTTTCTCCCCTTCTTCGCCACTGTCGAGCCAGCCTCATAGGAGTACTCGAACTCGTTACGCTCGACGCCAAAGACGAAAACCTCCTTGCAGACCTCGTGCTCGGCGTAGAAGGACTGGTTGACGTCATATGCCATGTAGGCCTCGTCGATCATAGAGTCCATATCCTCGTAGACCTTAAAGGCGTCGTCCGTCTTGATCGACTCGGGGACGTCATCCAGCAACTTCTGTCTCTTCGCCTCCCGCTCTGCAGCTTCCTCCGCTGGCCGACTCTCCTTATCTCTACTGGCAGATCCTTCCGCCGGGCGAGGCGGGAACGATGCTGCAGGAGTATGGAAATCATCAAGATCAGGATCCCACTCTTCGCCCATCGGTACTTGGTTGGATCGTACAGCCTCGTTGACAAAGTCCTTCACCGCGTCCTCCATCGGGTCCTCCGCTTGTGTCGCTCCTCGTGGCTCGACTGGCGGCGGTGGTCCCTGCTGCATCATCGGGGGTTCCTCCTGGTAGGGGTCCTCCGTTACCTCCTCCGTGGGCGGCTCCTCTTCTTGGACCAGTGGCTCGGCAGGTGCTTCACGCTCTGCCGGCTGCGGCACCTCTGGGGGCGGTGCCTCTGGCGGTGGCTGAGCCGCCGCTGGTTCTGGTCGAACTGGTCCTCCATCTTCCCGAAACTCTGGGGGAAAAGGCCGTCGTCGTAGATCGATAAATCCACTGCCTCCAGCCGTCCCGGTGGTGTCTATCAAGTCTGCCTCCTGCGCCGTCACCAGCCAGGCTCGGACCTCCTCGTCGGACGCCCTGGCAAGGTGCTCAGGAGCGCAGGCGATCGTGATCCCGCGGTGCACGATCCAGATCGTGTGCTTGCCCTCGTGACCTATCACGTGTGCGACTCCTCTCCAGTTGATAACGCTCTCGGGCCGCTTGCCCTGCTCCTTCTGGTCGTAGTAGAAAACCCAGTCGCCCACGTTGAAAGGTCCGCGTTCTGGCCGAACTTGTCGAAGCTCAGCCCTCTTGATCGCGTCCTCGTTCGCGATCTTCGCGTGGGCCTCCCGCGCCGCCTGTCGCAGCGCGCACTTCCTGGCAAACTTCGATGTCGGGGTAGCCGATGCCGCAATGGCACCGATCCTCTCAACCTCGCCGTCGTCCATGAGGTCCGCCGGGAGGCGAATATCTCTTCCCAGCACCCACTGCGCCGGTGAGAATCCAGACCTCCTGCTCAGCGAGTTCTTCGCCTGGTTGATCTCCATCACGGCCTTCAGGACGTCCTCGCGTCCAGCGACCTGCTTCGCCCAGACGACTCTCCTCCACATGGCTTGCCAGAGATCTCCATGACGCTCGACCTTGGCGATATGCCATGCTGCCGCCTTGGCGGCCGAATCGAATCTGCACCCACGACTCGACATGCTCAGAAAAACTACCCAGGAAGCCCTTGGCCCTGTCGACGATGACTCCAACCTCAGGCTCACCAGCCCAAGATGCCCAGCACAACTCGTAAGTCTCCAGCACCGTGGTCGAGCCCGTCATCTTGTGAACTTCGCCGAGTAAAGCAACCACCTGAAACGAGCATCCCAAGCACACGATATTCAGAAACTGCCACTCTGCTTGGTCTGCGTCCTTCTCGGCGAAGGTGTCGAAGCCCACGACAACGTTGAACTCGTCGACGCTCGGCAACTTGCTCGGCTTTGCCAGCAGCGGTCGCCTCGTGCGTTCACAGTGCTCGCAGGAGAAAAGCCTGCACGCCTTGATCGCGGCCTCCGAGGCTCTCGAAATCCTCAAGGCCCTTAGCATCTCGATCTTCGGCGCGTGACCCAGGTTTCTCGTGCAAGCGTCGGATCGCCACCTTCAGGTCCCGTGGTAGCTGATCCCATCGTTGCTTCCTCATAGTCTCCTTATCTTGCTCGCCGTCCTCTGCCTCGCCGATCTGCGCGCCGTACACCATGATGAGTAGGTCGGCCCCGGCGATCTTCATCACCCGCTGCTGCGGTGACAAGTTGGTCCAATCCTCCCAGCCGAGCTCGGACCACACGCCACGCTCGGACCGAGCGTAGGCAGTACGCAGAGGTGCCTGAGAAGCATGCAAGTGAGGCACCGCTGCGAGCAGAGAACGTGGATTCCGTCGTACCATAATCAGCTTCACGCTGGCGGACGCCTCCTCAAGCTTGGCAATCTCGGCGGCCCTCTTGTCCACCGAAGGCCACAGCAAGGTGAGGGGCGTGAGGAAGCCGACGAAACTACTGAAAATCTCCATCACCTTGTCGACTTTCTCCTTGGCCATGCTGAGCCAGCCGCCCTTGCGTGTAACTCTCCGTCTGAGTCCGCCTGTCCCTCCGAGTAGCTTTGCTCCTCGTCGAGCCTTCTTTGAAGGCGGCTCGGTGACCACCCCATCGTCCACAGGAAAGCTCGACTCCATGTGCCCGTTGGCGAGTGCGGCGGCGCTGTCGATCTCCATCTGCTGCTTCACTCCTTCGCAGATCGCCGTCGCCATCCTCGGAGGGTAGGCCGCTGCCTGAGCTGCTCTCTTCCCGGCGGAGTTGTTGCCCTCCACCATCTCGTGAGCAGTCTTGCACTTACAGGGGATAGCCAGCTTGTTGAGAACGCACTGGCTGTTCGTGAGGTAGCCGGTCAGCTTCTGGATGGGCTTGCCGCTGTCGATGTCCTTCTTGCCGAAACCACACTGAGCTCCACAGGCGAACCAGACATTCGGCAGCCCGTAGATATCGGCCAAGATGTTCTTGTACTTCCAGGAAGCTGCTGACCATGGCTGTTCTGCTAGAAAATATCGTTGCCTTTCGTAACGGTGTAAGCAGATGCGCTTCACCAACTTGAGCACTCGAACTCCGTAAGTCCTTCGCAGAGTCTCCCAATCCACCGTCGGGCTCATGTTCGTCATAACTGACCATATGCGGCAGTCGAAGGCGGTGATCGTGAGGTACGGATCGTGCTCGTCGAGGATCTCGAAGAGCAAGTCCTCGCCTTCCTTGGTCATCAGGTCGTAGTCGTCTAGCTTATCCAACGGTTGCGAGTTCGTCCAACCAAAAACTCCTGATGCCACTCGTGTAACGATAAAGCTGCCGCCCCAGGGCTCGAAGATCATCGTCTTCTTGAACCCTGATGTGGCCATCCTCTCTGCGAGCGTGTACTCCTTCTTGAGCGTAGCCCAAGTCCGCTTCTCCTCAGCCGCTATCCTTGAAGCTGTAGTTGACAACTCCTGTGCTCTTCGATTGGTGAGCTCGCCTCTCGTATCTGACTTGCGCACACCTCTCGCTGCCAGGGATATCTCCAACTTCTGGCCAGTCCCGTCGTTCGAGCTCGCGTCCTGACGACGGATTGCATCTATCTTGACAGTGTCGCAAGTCTCCTCATCGTCGCAATCGTCATTCTCCAGATAGGCATAGCCACCCCTGACCACGTCCATGCACGTCGCGAGGTGCACGATCGCGTCGCCCCGGGATGACTTGAGCTCCATGCGCTGTAGTACCGAATCCTGGTCATCTCCAAACTGCGATACATCGATACCCAGGTGTGTCGTATTCTTCATCTTGATCAGAGGTACTGTGATTCCCAATGCCGAAAGCTCCAATTTCTTTGACTTCATGTGAATGTGGCCGTCTAGCATGTCCAGGGCAGGTATGGAGATCAACAGTGGAGTCGTCCCTGTCGGGATCTCGGTCGAATGCGCCTCTCCTCTGAATCCTCCAATGCCAATCGGGATCACGTTGACGTCACCCTGCTGCTTGGAGCCGTTCGCGAAGGTGAACTTCCGCTGGATGTCCGTCTTCCTGCAGGTAAGGTCGGGGGGTAAGTGCTTCTCAAACCTCTCCCTCCAGCTCTTGCTGTGCATACAAAGGGTACAGGCGGTGTCCACGAGGGCCACCACGTCGTAATTAATTGTGTTGCAGTCAGTGCGCCCCACGGCGAAGGCGAACTGTGAGTGTCCCAGCCTGCTACCGCTAACCTGGCCCCCGGCATTGAACGGGGCGAGGCTCTGCGGGTCGAGCTGCACGGCGGCGAGCTCGTCGGGCGATGCCAAAATGGCTGCCCACGTCCTTGACCTAAGAGGCTCCTCAAGACGGCTTATGCGTCCTTGACTGAGGGACGTCGAGCCCCCTCCACGGTCTTGCCCTTGCTTAGCGTCGAAACGAACGGCCCGAAGGACCGCCGTCGCGTAGCATCTGCTGACCAGTCGTCCAGTTGATCGTGCCCTTGCACCGCATGATGGTGTTGAAGTTCAGGCATCCGTAGAACTGGTTGCCGTCCAGGTTGTGCTCTTCACTTGCATGCCCTGGCGGCGGCACTTCGGACAGGTCAGCTGCTCGCAGAACGTGTTGTCGTCGTTCACAAACTCCCAGGATGTGGACGCTCTTGATGACGTAGCTGCTGCCTTTGGCCTTGCGCCCAGTGACTTGGCGCCAATCTCCGTCTGCTGCTTCGAGATGTTCGGCTTGGTCAGCGGGACCTCTGCGACCTTCTCGAGATCTTGGCGCTGCTTCGCCTGCTGGTAGGCCTTCATCTCGGCGTAGAGCGGGCAAAGCTTGTCTCCTCCATGATGTCCGTACTTGCCGCAGTCCGCGCACTTGATGTTCTCGCCCGGTGCTCTCGTCGAAGTCCCGTCCGAGAACGCTGCTGCGGTCCTCGAAACACTGCACCCCTTCTTGACCTGCGCCTTGCCCGAGTAGTGTCCCTCGAGCCTCTCGATCAGGATCTCCTTCTTGCCGTTGGTCTGGAGCCCGAGCTCGCTGAGGTGACTCTTGAGCTCGTACTGCTTCCAGGCCCTGAAATCTGGCGTGGTCGGGATGTCCTTCGGTGCTGCCGACGGCCTTGGGGCCGCCTCTCCACTGCTTGCCGCTCCTGCCGACTTCTTCCTGTCCTTGTCGTAGTCCCTGCTGTGGTGGCTGTCGTCCTCGCGCTCGTTGTCCATCTCCTCCTCCGAGTCCGTGTAGAACGAGTCCTGCCCCTCGACCGTCCCGTCGGGGTCGCACGAGACGTCGTCGCCGCGCGCCATGAAGGAGGTCGCCTCTTCCATCAGTTCGTCATCGTCTGTGGTGCCGTCGAGCGTGAAGTACGACTTGCCTCCGCGCCCAGGCTTAGCCTTTGGCTTGCCGCTCCCGCGGCCTCCGCCTCGTCCTCCACCGAACTTCTTGTCGCCTTGCTTACCTGTCTTCGGGCACACGGCATCTCCTGCCCAGTGTCCGATGCGACCGCACGCTCCGCAGCGCGTGCGCTTCTTTTCCTCCTTGATCTGCTCCTGACGCTCCTCGAAGGTCACCTCGCCCTTGAAGAATCCGCGCTGCTTCTGCGTGTCCTTCAGCTTCTTCCTTGCCGCGTCGTAGGCGCTGTAGGCCTCGAACACGTCGTCGTCGTTGCTGGCTCCGGCGTCGCTCGCAAACTCATGGTCGTCATCTGCCGCGTTGGCGCCCTCTTCGAACTCCTCATCCGTAATGTCGTCCTCGTCGCCGCTGTTGTTGTCCTCGACCTGATTCGCCTTGCCTCCGCGCCGGTTCTGCCACTTCTGCGTGTGTGTGTTGGCCGGCGCGCTCCGTCTCTCCTTCTCGTGCAGGTCGTGGAAGTTGACCCTCAACGTATGCTGGAACATCTCCAGGTTGTACTCCGAGTTGCTGTTGAGAACGATGTTGCGCTTCTGCTCGTCCGTGAGGTTCGCGCCGTCCAGCAGAAAGTATGCCATCAAATCGTCCGAAAGCGTGGTGTTCTCGTCGCGCTCCTGCAAGTCCTCCCACAGCTTCTCTTTGTTCGAGAGGTACTCGCCCATATCAGTGCCTCGCTTCCGGAAACTCCGCTTGAAGAAATTATCGAACGCCATGCCCTTCTTGACGATGGCCTCCTTGTCGAGCGTCGCCAGCGCCTCGAAGATCCGTCTCTCACCGCCGTCCGCACGTACTTCTGCGGTCTCCTGTGCGAGGTGCTCTGCTCGTCGCCATGCTCGACCATGTAGTCCGTCGAGCAACTTCACCCTGAATCTGCGTGTCTTCTTCTCGAGGCTTTGCGCGATTGCTTCTTCGTCATCTCCACTACCTTCCAATCGCGCCAGCGCCAGGGTGACTCTCTTCTTATACTCCTTGAGCAAGTCAGGATTCTGGCCGGTATAGTGAGGCAGCCCATCTCTATCCACAACTATCTCATCATCACGGTAGTACGACCGTCCAGCTCCTTGATCGTTCATCTCGCTGCTCTTGCTATTCTTGGGCTCTACGTTGGTCCTGGTGAACGTTCGGCCACGTCCACAATCTCGGAACCACCAGCTCCGCAATACCAGTCTGAAAGCGTATGGTAGATGCTGATGATAAACCTGTTTATCTCATCCACGGCCCCGCGCGGGCCACGAGCTATCTGCGGGGGCGCCAGGCGCCCAGTACAACAAGCTCTAAAGGCCGGCCTTGCGGGCCGAGACGGGCAGCGGGCAGCGAGCAGCGGGCGAGGGGGCAGAGGCAGGTGCACTCAGAGGGGGAAGTAGACGAGGTACTGGTAAGAGAGGGTCAGGGCTAGGCGGGCTCCAGAGGGGTCCTCGGGTACACCTCCAGGGAATCTCAGAGTTTCTTTGGAGGTTGACTCTGGGCTCCAGGACCAGTAGCATCACGATTCAGGATGAATCGCTGGCCCTGGAGAAGAGCTCGAGAGGTCTAGGGGGGTTCGTTTCCCAAAGCGAGCCGTCAGATGTCTGGGGGCGCGACAGCAGCTGCGACGAGCCGCTGCGGCAGCCCCCCAAAAGAGATCACACACAAGAAATACAGGCAAGAACAGCATGCTTGGCACCAGCCCGGCGTGGGTCCCCAGATCGGCGCGCGTGCACACACGGCCCCAACGGCCGCTGTAGAGATCCAGCCCCTCAGACGTAGTGCTGTCTCCAGTGTCCAGCACCAGGGCGCACACGTGTCCGCCACATTGCAGTTCAATGGTTCGGATTGTTGGTTTTCCTCGTACGCGGCACATGAGTGTTTAGCATCATGCTCGCACTGTCAGCCATATCTTCCATTCATCAGGTCAGTGACAGATCCCCTGCGATCAATCTTGGCTCAAGGCATCTTGGCATGCGAAGTCTCTTGGGGTGATCCGAGGTTTGTTCCACGATCCTGAGGCTGACGTCAAATTCTCCGACCTGTTGATAGTTTTGCAAGTGTGGTCGCTGCCACCAGAACATGAAGATGATCAGGGCTTGAGATCGAAGGGAAGTAGGCGATGAGGACGAGAAGAAGGAGGATGAAAAGGCGGATGGGGATGGTCAAGATGAGGATGAAGATGAGGAGGAAAAGGAGATGAAGGATGAAACGGGGGAAAGAGAGAGATAAAGAGAGAGAGAGAGAGAGAGAGAGAGAGAAAAAAAAAAAGGGAGGGAGGGAGAGGGGAGTGGGAAGGCCTAGAGTTTGCAATGAAAGCCGGGGCGTATTGGGTCACTCGGGCTTTCTTGACCCTCGTGTCTCTCTTGGGGACATCTTGTGCTGCCAGCGGCTTCTTTTGATTCTCGTGGGGCTCTCTGGGGCTCTCTGGGGTCCGCTTGGCGCATCCTGGGGGCCGTTTTATCACCCTTTTGGGCCCTTGGGCCTTTCTGGGAGCCGTCTTGGGCCGTCGTCGTTGTCGTCGTTGTCGTCGTCGTCGTCGTCGTCGTCATCGTCCGTCGTCCGTCGTCCGTCGTCCGTCGTTCCGCAGCACTGGCGTCAAGAACTTCACGTCCTGAGCGCATTGCCCTCTTTCAGTCCCCTCTCCGAGGCTTCCCTCCTCTCCCTCCGCACCTCTGGTGCCAATTTGTCGTTTCGCCACCCGTTCCAGGCCACCACGCGTTGAGCGGCCTCCAGCGCCGCGACAAGAAAGAGTCTGGACGACCCCACTACTCCGTCTGAAACTTGCAATCTTGGGATTGTCGGGGGGAACATCTACGACGCCTACGGCAAATCACCGCCGCTCCATGCCTTTTGGAAGCACCTACATGGCCGAAAGTTGGGCTAGAGCTTGGCCAAGCTGTCGGACCCTGTGTTCCCCCAGCTGTCGTTGAAACCCTTCGGGGAACACATCAGGAAGAGAGGAATGAGGAGAAAAAGAAAAAGGGAGCATGAGGAGGAGGAGGAGGAGGAGGAGGAGGAGGAGGAGGAGGAGGAGGAGGAGGAGGAGGAGGAGGAGGAGGAGAAGGAGAAGGAGGAGAAGGTGCAGGAGAAGGAGGATGAGGAGGAGGCCTCTTTGGAGCCTCTTGGTTCATTTACGGAGCCTCCTGGGAGCTTTCTGGGAACCTCTTGCAGGCTTCTTGGGAGCCTCCTTGGGCCTCTTGGAAACCTTGCGCCGTCTTGGGCTGTCTTGAGGGCATCTAGGGTGCATCTTGGGCCGTCTTAGATGCATCTTGGGGACATTGTGGGCTCTCTTGGGGCCATCTTGGCCGTCTTGGAAGCACCTTGAAGGCCATGTTGGGCATTCGTGGCTGTCTTGGAGGCTGTCTTGGGCCATCTTCTTGGGTCGGAAAAGGCATTGACCAGTAGATTTTGGGGAGCTCTCCAGGTGGGCCGAAGCCCCAGGGGGAGTTTTAAAAGAGCCGAAAAAACGCCAGAACCTCAGCACGCCAGGCGCCCCTGTGATAAAGCAACAGAGGGCGGCGGGCCGAAGACGCCTACGGCGAATCACCGCCGCCCCCTGCCTTTTGGCATGGCTCATGTGGACGAGCGTTGTGGCAAGAGCTCTGCCAAGCTATCAGATCATGTGTTCCCCCAGCCGTTGTAGAAACCCTTCGGGGAACACTTTGGGGAGGAGGGGGAGGAGGAGGAGGGGGAGGAGGAGGAGGGGGAGGAGGAGGAGGAGGAGGAGGAGGAGGAGGAGGAGGAGGAGGGAGGAGGGGGAGGAGGAGAGGAGGAGGAGGAGGAGGAGGAGGAGGAGAGGAGGAGGAGGAGGAGGAGGAGGAGAGGAGGAGGAGGAGGAGGAGGAAGAGAAGGAGTATGGGGCATTTTCGGAGCCTCAGGGGGCACTCTTGGGGCTTCTGGGAGCTTCCAGGGAGCCTCTTCGAGGCATCTTCGGGGCCTCCTTGGGCCTGTGCGACCAAAGGGAATATCTACGCCATGGTAAGGGATGGAAGGCAGGGGTATGACATCAGATAAGACGCTTGCGCACCTAGCTTGTCTCTTCCTTTCTCTCCTCTCTCTCGCTGTCTGCCTGCCTGCCTGCCTGCCTGCCTGCCTGCCTGCCTGCCTGCCTGCCTGCCTGTTTGCCAGTCTGTCTGTCTGTCTGTCTGTCTGTCTGTCTGTCTGTCTGTCTGTCTGTCTGTCTGTCTGTCTGTCTGTCTGTCTGTCTGTCTGTCTGTCTGTCGGTGTGTCTGTCTTTCTGTCTGTCTGTCTGACTGTCTGTCTGTTTGCCAGTCTGTCTGTCTGTCTGTCTGTCTGTCTGTCTGTCTGTCTGTCTGTCTGTCTGAGGCCGAAGAGGTTTGGGGTGTACCGCGAAACCCTGGGTAGCCCGAGGATTGCAGCCTTCGCTAGGCGCTGCTCTTCTTCTTCTTCTTCTTCTTCTCATTCTTCGCCTTCTTCTTCTTCTTTTTCTTCTTTCTTCTTCTTATTCTCCCTCTCCCTCTCTCTCTCGCTTCCCTGGCGTGCCTGGCTGGTGGTCTGCGACTCGCGACCAGGCGCATGCAGTTTTCTGAAGTCCCCGCGATCGCACCGGTGCAATCCGCCCGGGGCCCCAGTTACAGCTGGGCCGTTTCACCACACGAGACTCGCGGTGTTCCGCGTCAGGGCCCTCGTCCCCCAGGCGCGGCTTGGGTGCGCCGTCGAGGCGTGGCTGGGGGGCGCCCCAGCTATGTGGGAGCCCGAGAGAGAGTCTGCCTGCCTGCCTGCCAGCCTGCCTGCCTGCCTGCCTGCCTGCCTGCCTGCCTGCCTGCCTGCCTGCCTGCCTGCCTGTCTGTCTGTCTGTCTGTCTGTCTGTCTGTCTGTCTGTCTGTCTGTCTGTCTGTCTGTCTGTCTGTCTGTCTGTCTGTCTGTCTGTCTGTCTCTGTCTGTCTGTCTGTCTGTCTGTCTGTCGGTGTGTCCGTCTGTCGGTGTGTCTATCTTTCTGTCTGTCTGTCTGACTGTCTGTCTGTCTGTCTGCCTGCCTGCCTGTCTGTCTGTCTGTCTGTCTGTCTGTCTGTCTGTCTGTCTGCCTGTCAGCGCGCGCGTGTGTCTGTGTGTCGCAGCCAAGCAAGAACCGCGATAGGCAAGCCTACCCAGGGAGAAGTTATGCGCGCGACGGTTTTCCCCTCGTCGTTTTCGTGGGTTTGAACGATTGTTGGGGAAAAACAAAAGAGCCCCGCGGGGGGGGGCCGGAAGCCTGAGACCTTCCGGTCGAGATCGCCTGGTCCGGAAGCCGCTTCGGCTGAGACCCCGCGCTTCATTCGAGCATCGCGTTCTCGCCCCAGCGCTGGCAACAGTTTTGGCCCGGACGGCAACGCTCCCTGGTAGAGCAACACGCCAAGGTGCACATGGCAGCGCCTGGACCTCCTACTACTCCGTATTCGCTGCCATCCAGGTGCTTTGTTGAGATACCCACGAGCGCCGACCCGACCGACGACCTCCCCACGACGACCCCGCACGACGACCTCCCACAACGAACCCGACAGCCGCCACCCACTCCAGCACCCCCTCCATTTGCGCCGCCTTGCCGGCGTCGCCGCCGTGGCGTCCGCAGCCTCGTGGCGGGTGGCCCGCATTTGCCGGCCTCTCTTCCCGCCCGTCGGTTTGCGGTTGCTCCTCTCCCTCCCTCCTCCTGCGGGGAATTCCGACGAAAAATAAAACATACCCCCCAAAACAATCAAAAAATAATCCAAACATAGTCTGGGGACTATTTTTTGGGGCATGGTCTCCCGTCTCCCTCGCCCTCTCCCCTGCTCCCTGCATGCTGCCTCCCCTCCGCCGCTGTGTGTGTGTGTGTGTGTCTATCCGTCTGCCTGCTTGCTTGCATTCCTGCCTGCCTAGCTGCCTGCCTGCCTGCCTGTGTGTGTCTGTCTGTCTGTCTGTCTGTCTGTCTGTCGGTCGGTCGGTCTGTCTGTCTGTCAGTCTGTCTGTCTGTCTGTCTCTCTGTTTGTCTGTCTGTCTGTCTGTCTGTCTGTCTGTCTGTTTGTCTGTCTGTCTATCTTTTTGCCTGCCTGTTTGCCAGTCAGTCTCTTTCTGTCTGTCTGTCTGCCTGCTTGCCTGCCTGTCTGTCTATCTGTCTGTCTGTTTGCCTGCCTGCCTTCCTGCCTGCCTGCCTGCCAGTCTGTCTGCCTGCCTGCCTGCCTTCCTGCTTGCCTGCCTGTCTGTCTGTCTGTCTCTCTGTCTGTCTGTCTCTCTGCGTGTGTGTGTGTGTGTGTGTGTGTTTGTGTGTGTGTGGGTATGTGTGTCTGTCTGTCTGTCTGTCCGTCTGTCAGTCTGTGTGTCTGTCTGTCTGTCTGTCCGTCAGTGAGTCTGTCTGTCTGTCAGTATATTTGTATTTCTATCAGTTGTCTGTCTATCTGTCAGTCTGGCTGCCTGCCTGCCTGTCTGCATATCTGTCTATTTGTCAGTCTGTCTGCCTGTCGGTCGGTCTGTTTGTCTGTCTGTCTGTGTGTCTGTCTGTCTGTCTGATTGTCGGTCTATATGTGTGTCTGTCTGTCTGTCTGTTTGTGTGCCTGCCTGCCTGTCTGTATGTCTGTCTCTCCACATTTTTTGTGCGCGTATGATGTATGTCTGTGTACATATGTATACACAACTACTTCTCTGACTCTTCCGCGTTCACCTTCACTTGCTAGTCTTCATCCTCCTTTTGCTGATCATGTGTGTTCCTTCTCTTTCTTCTCCTCCATGATACCTTCGCTGCCCTCTGAGGGCGCTGAGGGGCAGGACGAGTGCCGGCAACACGACGCGGATCCCTTCGATCGGCCACGCCGATATGACACCGATACAACGCCGAACAGACCCGCGCAACAAACTCGAACCACGGCCGACACATTGCTGATCCACAGCTGACACACGCAACCGGCACACAACTGACCCGCAGCACCCGACCTACGCAGCGAAATCGAATCAAAGCCGACCCGCAATTGATCCACCGTAGCCGACCCGCACAACACACTAGATCCACTGCCGACCCTCTCCTCCGCACAACAGCACTACGCGACTACATGGCATCAATCCACACTTTGGGTGTACCGGCCTATCCGCGATTTTAGCTGTGCGCTCGTTGCGCCATGCTTTGGGATGTCTCAGCGTCTTGCACCGCCAAATATTTCTGCCACCTCTGCACGAGATGCCCACGATGTTGTGTCGCACCATGCTGTGTCGTACGATGCTGTGGTGCACCACGCTGGCGCAGCTCTTGATACTATCATCGGCGGCTCCCGCACCGACCCGCTCACCGACTCTCGCACCGACCAGGTCACCGACTCCCGCACCGACCAGCTCACCGACTACCGCACCGACCAGCTCGTCGACTCCTGCGCCAACCAGCTTGCCGCTCCTCAGGCCAACGACGGCACTGTCGAAGTGAAGGCTCATTGCACGAGATGCCCACGATGTTGTGTCGCGCCATGCTGTCTCGCACGATGTTGTATTGAACCACGCTGGCACAGCTCTTGATACTATCATCGACTACTTCCGCTCCGACAACATTACCGACTCCTGCACCGACCAGCTCACCGACTACCGCACCGACCAGCTCGTCGACTCCTGCGCCGACCAGCTCGCCGATTCTCAGGCTTCGACTCCCGGTGGGAGGACATTCAAAATTCGGACGGTTACGTGGTTACGTGTGGCGGCATCTGGCTTTCCAACTCCTCCTCTGGCTCCGTCTCCTACTCCATTTCTGGCGTCTCGGGCTCTGACCTCAGCTCCGACGCTGGACGGCATGCGCCACGATGGCGGCCTAGGAGCGCCTAGTGCTACGAGCACCAGCAGCACGGCGCTGGGCAGCACGACGGGCTATCACAGCACGACGCTGCAGCACTGGGCGGTACGACGCCAGCACCAGCTCCCACCCGACCGTGCAGGGCAGCGACCACGCACTTCCGACTCCGAGGCGGTGGCCGTCCCAAGGCATACATACGGTTTGGTCGGGCCTCTCTGGCACTAGGTGGGGCCATTTTGTTAACACGTGTTTTGGCTCCATGTACCGTCGCCAGCCCCGACGCCGACTCCGACATCGGCGCCTACGCCAGCAACGACGCCGGCTGTGACGAACGCCGGGTGGATGGATCTCGGCTCAGCGGTGTGTGTGTGTGTGACCAGCGATACATGTGATGCATCTTCGTATTGTCTGCACCCATTTGATTACCACCTCATTTGGTCTACACTTGCACGGGGTCATGCGTCTACAGTGCTACTGCGTCTACCTCTTCTTCTACATCTGATCTGCCTTATGCATGCCTCGGGGGCCTGGCGAGGTGTTCCATGGGCGGCCAGCGCTCCTCGCCTCCCCCGTGTAGCCAATATCATCCCTCCTCCGCTTTCTCTAGCGTCGTTTTTTTATGGGCCGCCCAGCCCACTGGCGTGCACACCTTGTCCTTCCCGCCCGTGTTCGGCAGGGCTCGGGCAGGCACTGTTGTGCTCGCCCTGCTTAAACTTATCACTACTTTAGTTTGACTTGCCGACTTGCCCGTCTTTTCTATATCTACTTGCCTGTGTTTTTATGGGCAGCCTGCCCGCTTCGCTGTGATACGAATTCGGGGCATTTCGTATCAGTGTAGTGCTGCTCCTGCGCTCTCTCGTCTGCTTCCTCCCTGCTGCTGCTGTTCCTCCCCCTCCTCCTTCGCGCGCGTGCTGCGTATCCGTTTCTGCGACTCCTGGGGCGGTCGTGTTGCTCAGTGTAATGCGGCGTTATGTTCTGCGGCTGATTCGGCCCCCAGGGAACATAACCACGGTTGGGTGTCGTCGGCCGGGGGCGGATGCATTGCAGTTTCTTGTGCTTGTTTCCTCCTCCCCTCTCCTGTCTCTCCCCCCCTGTTCCCTCCCCCGCCTTTTGTTTGCAGGTGGATCCGAGGCTTCGTTTAGGGTCCTTTGCCCGTCCCCTAGCGGGGTCGGGACTGCCCTCCCCCGCTTCCTCTCCCTGCTCCTCTCCTCTCCCCGCCTCCTCCTCCTCATCCTCTTCCCCTCCCTCCTTACGTCTGAAGTTTTTTTTTTCTTCCAAAAAATGCCGGTCTTAAGTAATATTTCCGCCCCAGCGCCCGGGCAATAATTGTCACGGGTGGCCCTTTCGCTGTCCTGGCCACGTGGCCGATAGTGTTTCCGTATTCTCTGGTTGTCGTAGGTGTAGTTAGCTCTACTGCCTGCCCGAGGGCTTGAGAGGACACTTTTCTGTGGCATCAGGTCGCCGGCCAGCGAGCTTGAGCTTGAGAGGAGAGTGGGTGGTGAAAAAAAACACCTTCGCTCCCCTCTGACTGCCTGCATGGCTGTCTTGGTTGGGTTGGTTAGTTGGTTGGTTGGTTGGTTGGTGGGTTGGTTGTTTGGTCGATTCGTTGACTGGTTGGCAGGCTGTAAGCTGTAAGCGCGGCTTTTTGGCAGGCTGACTGGGATACATATTGGTTGGCTAATTAGCCGGCTGGCTGCCTGAACGGCTGAACGGCTTAGCGGTCGGGTGGCTGGTTGTACGGCACGTTCGTTGAGCACGAAAACGGGTCAACTGGAATTTCGTGCGTGCGTTTTCTGCGGGATTGTGACTGCGCGCCCGTCGGACGATGGTTACAGTGGGCAGCCCCGTGGGAGCGCTCGGGAGCGCCTTGGCGACTGGGGAACGTTTCGGAGCGCCCGGGAACGCCAGCGAGCGTTTGGGAGCACCCAGGAGCGTTTGGGAGCGCCCAGAAGCTTTGGGGAGCGCCTGGCAGCGCTCCGAGAGCGCCTGTGACCGCTCGGGTGCACGTGGGCGTAGCCCGAGGGATCGCCTGGGAGCGCAGGTCGGCGGTCAGGAGCGCCTCGGGCCCATCGCTGTTACGAAGGACCGCCGCCTCGGGAGTGTGAAGCTTAGGTCGCTCCAGGGGCGCGAAGAGGATCGCGCTTCGCGCGTCGCGCGTCGCGGCTTGGGTTGGAGATGCGCCTTTCTCCAACGCTGTGGCGCGATGGCGCGAAGATCAGCGCGCATCGCGCATCGCGGGGCGCGATGCGCGAAATTAGGTGACCTATGAGTCCATTGTTTTCCCCATATCGTACAGACTCCAGGCCCCTGCAGGAACCTCACTTTCCTTCTCCTCTTTACCTTCATCCCATTACTCTCAGCAACTTTCATCATCTCGCACTATTCTCATCCACATCTCTTCTTATTCGTCTTCAGGTTCATTCTCGTCTGCCTTCACATTCAGCGCTCTCATCGCTCATGAACCTCGTTTCTTCTCAGGGTCGCGATCCTTTGTGCAAGCACACGCTCGAAGGTCGCGAAATCCGAGCAGCGGTGCGGATCGCATCATAACATGTGTGGTCTGTCCGAGTGGAAGTCGTCAGCCTCCCCTTTCTTTTCTCCCCCTCCTCCCGCCTTGCCTAGGTAAAACAAACCTCGTTGTCCTCTCCCTTCCTGCTTCCCCCGTCCTTCCCCCTTCCCCCTTCCCCCTTCCTCCTCCTCCTCCTCCTCCACACCCATCCGTCTGCTCCTCGAAGGTCTTCTTCCGCGAGGCCGGCGTGGACTCGCACTGGACCCCGCTGGCGGGGTCTCCCTGCGGGCTCGTCTGGGGCGTCCCCGTCGACATCGACGCGACGACGCGCGGCATCTGGGTGGTTTGTCAGAAGGACCCGCGGAGGTCTTTGTGGTGGTCGTCGTCTTCGTCGTCTTCGTCATCGTTGTTACTGGCGTCTGCGCCGGCGGCGTCGTTGGCGCCGACGTTACTCCCCGGCTCCAATCTCATATGCTAATCCCCATAGCACAATCACATGCGCCAGCAGCATACATGAAGAGTGTGCACGAGTGACTGACATGGAGGGCTTATAAGAATCGCATCACTTGTTAATGGCCATACATACAGAAGCACAGCATGACTGTGCGTAAAGGACGCACTCCACTGGCATAACTGCATGCGCCGGCAGTGTGTGCTGTCCATATTAGTGTCCACATATAATATGTGCAACACCGTACGCAGCTGTCAGCTTTACATAACATGTGTCAAGTTCATACCTGAACAATTTTGTAGTATATCTCAGAGCGTGAATTACCTCCCCCGCTTTCGCTTCCAGGCAAAACCAAGTCATACCACGCGCCTCCTCGTCAAGCGGCCTGACCAGTACAGGCTGCAATTTGGCATCGTTTGGTATCTCTTGGAAGCGAGGGTGGTCAAAAGCGAGGTAGGTTTGTTTTCCCCCTAATATCACGCTGTGTGGGGCACAGGCGATATACGTCGAACTCATTCGTAGCAGCTCCTTCGCGGCGGTCGCCCGAAGCAGAACATTCTTCGTTTCTGAAGCAAAAGATCTTGCTCAGGAGCCTGCTATTGGTCTATCGGGGGCATGCAGACGACGTGCTATCGATCCCAGGTCGACGTTCAGCCGCCTCTTCCCATCCCCGCCATTCGTACCTACACTTGGCTCGTGCCTGAGGAGTTCATGTCGGTGCATGGCATCCGCAAGGAGCACTTCCTCTTCGCCAAGTGGGGCTGGTGTCCCGAGAACAACCACCGCTGGTGGAACATGATGGCGAGCGGCAACGTCTCGCAGCTGGATGCGGTCAAGGATCCCTCCCTGACGCCTGCGGATCGGAAAGATGAGGCAGAGAGATGCGGTCGAGATTTTCAGGTCGTGATTTTTCACGACGACGTGCTTTGTTTCACGACGTCGAATTTCTGGGCTGGCCAACTGATAATGTCTCACACTCGTTGCCGCTCATTTCTCTCCTCGGCCCCCGCGCCCACTTTCCTGTCTGTGCTCTGATGGCTGGTCCCTCGTTTTCCATCCTCATCCTTCCGCCTCCGTTCCGTGAGTTCTAGACTGACTCCTTACCTTGCGTATATGTTTGAACAAGGCTGGGCGTCGCGGCACATGGGTGACGTTCGTCTGCCTTGTAGCAATCCTTGTTTTCCAACTGTGTATGCCGATGTGCTATCGTGCCGCGCACTCCAGTATTGGTGTGTTATTTTGGCACCAGCGGTCAGGTCTCGAACGAGTTGCAGGCATACGGCCGAAGTGGCGCTGCCTCCAGAGGGTAGGATGTGAAGGGAGACGGGGAGAGAAAGGGAAGCAGAGGAGGATGAGGAAGACGATGAGGAGGCGGATGATGAGTGGGAGGAGGAAGAGGAGGATGAGGAGGAGGAGGAGGAGCAGGATGAGGAGGAGGCGGAGGAGGAGGAGGAGGGATGAGGATGAGGAGGATGAGGAGGCGGAGGAGTACGGGGGGGTCCCAGGATGCGGAGGAGGAGGAGGAGGAGGAGGAGGAGGAGGAGGAGGAGGAGGAGGAGGAGGAGGAGGAGAGGAGGAGGAGGAGGAGGAGGAGGAGGAGAGGAGGAGGAGGAGGTGAGGAGGAGGAGGAGGGGAGGATGAGGAGGAGGAGGAGAAGAGGAGGAGAGGAGGATAGGCGGAGGAGATTAGGCGGAGGAGGAGAGGCGAAGGAGGACGGGGGGGGAGGAGGAGGATGAGAGGAGAGGAGGAGGAGGAGGAGGAGGAGGAGGGAGGAGAGGAGGAGGGAGGAGGAGGAGGAGGAGGAGGAGGAGGAGGAGAGGAGAGGAGGAGGAGAGGAGGAGAGAGGAGGAGGAGGAGGAGGAGAGGAGGAGGAGGAGGAGGAGGGAGGAGGAGGAGGAGGGAGGAGGAGGAGGAGGAGAGAGGAGGAGGAGGAGGAGGGAGAAGGAGGAGGAGGAGGAGGAGGACCAGTGTAAACCCAAGAGTCACCAACGAGGTTGGGATAAACCCTCCCCCCAAGCTCCCTCTTCATAGACCCCATACCACGGTTCATTCCCACAGAGGGACCTGCCTCGTTGGAATACAACCGTTTGAAGACCTTGACGCGTGCCAACTTGTTAGTCTCGGTGTTCCAAACTGTTGCGTTTTGACGATCTTAAGTCGTGCCAGAACGCCATTCCTGGGACCTCAACTCCGCGATTCATCGTAGCTGTTGCGCCTTCAAAACCGTGAAACCTTCCAACCACAATTTCTGGTACGTCGCTCATGGGAACCCGTGAAGCTCTTGCATTTTTTAGCAGGAATGTGCGCGGCGCTACGGCGAGAGCCACATGTTGAACAGCAACCGCCCTCAATCCGTGAAGCCCTTGCAAATGTTTAGAACGAATGTGTGCGGCGCTCAGGCGAGAGCCACATTTTGGAAACCACCCGCCCTCAGTCCGTGAAACTCTTGCAACGTTTTAGAACGAATGTGCGCGGCGCTAAGGCGAGAGCCACATTTTGAAAACGACCCGCCCTCGATCCGTGAAGCCCTTGCAGTTTTTCAGAACGAGTGTGCGCGGCGCTCAGGCGAAAACCACATTTTGAACACCACCCGCCCTCAACCCGTGAAGCCCTTGCAAATATTTAACAAGAATGTATGCGGCGCTAAGGCGGGAGCCACAACTTTGAGAACCACCTGCTTTCAGTTGAAACTCTTGCAACTTTTTAGAACGAATGTGCGCGGCGCTAAGGCGAGAGCCACATTTTGAAAACGACCCGCCCTCAATCCGTGAAGCTCTTGCAAGTTTGAAAACGAATGTGCGCGGCGCTAAGGCGAACGCCACATTTTGAAAACGACCCGCCCTCAATCCGTGAAGCACATGCAATTTTTAAGAACGAATATGCGCGGCGCTAAGGCGAGAGCCACATTTTGAACATTACCCGCCCTCAACCCGTGAAGGTCTTGCAATTATTTAACAAGAATGTATGCGGCGCTTAGGCGGGAACCACATTTTCAAAACCACTGGCTTTCAATTAAAAATCTGGCAAACTTTGAAAACGAATGTGCGCGGCGCTGAGGCGAGAGCCACATTTTGAAAACGACCCGCCCTCCATCTGCGAAGATGTTGTCAATGTGTGAGCCCCAGGGTCATATATAGTGAAAGAGTCTCAGGCGAAATTCCCGGCCCGCTCTAAAAAATGGCTTCGGGATGCGACAGGGAGAAGTTATTTGTAAGGAGAAGGAATGGAGGAGGCAGAGGAGGAGGAGGAGGAGGAGGAGGAGGAGGAGGAGGGAGGAGGAGGAGAGGAGGGGGAGGAGGAGGAGGAGGAGAGGAGGCAGAGGAGGAGAGGAGGAGGAGGAGGAGGAGGAGGAGGAGAGGAGGAGGAGGAGGAGGAGGAGCAGGAGGAGGAGGAGGAGGAGGAGGAGGAGGAGGAGGAGGAGGACAACGAGGAGGAGGAGGAGGAGGACAACGAGGAGGAGGAGGAGGAGGAGGAGGAGGAGGAGGAGGAGGAGGAGGATGAGGAGGACGGGGGGGATAGGAGGGCTAGGAGGAGAGGGAGGGGGAGAGGGAAGGGGGGGGGGGGACGGAGGATGCCGTGAGGAAAGGTGTCTCCCTATCGATTTCGGCCAGGGGCTGGTGTTGCCCCTGCTGAGGGTTGTCTCGTGGTTGTTTCAGGGCCGTGTTCCACCTCGTTGCCATCTTGGGACGTCTGGTGCCCGTCTGGAAGCATATTGAGGTGTCATGGGGTGTCGAGGGTGCTCCAGGGGCTTCTTTGATCGATTGAAGGCCACAAGAATCAGCACCAGAGGCACCGCGGGATCGTCTTAGGACCTTCGGCAGTCCATCAGCAGGCATCTTGACGCAATCCTCTTGCCAGTGTGCATGTGTTTTGGGCACGCCTGTTCGTTTTTGGTTGTTGTTTGTGCACGTGCGCCATATAGTCGGTGGGCCCTCCGACTGTGCCATGACCTCCTCTGCTTTTTCATGTTGGCCTGTGCATGGTTGTATGCTTGTGCCTTGCAGTCGAATGAGGACTCCATTTTCGGTGTGGACTCCCAGGGCTCCATCGTGTGGCGGCCCACAGGCGTAGTCATCAAGCACAGTAGGCGCCCTTCCCCCCCACCAATGACGCTTCATCATCTGTTACGGGCAGGAGGAGAAGGAAGAGGAGGAAGACGACGAGGAGGAGGGATGGAGGGGAGAATGGGATGGCAAGGACGACGGGAGGCAGCGATATAGGGAGGGGTAGATATATACATAGAAGGTGAGAAAGAGAGAGAGAGAGAGAGAGAGAGAGAGAGCGAGAGAGAGAGAGAGAGACGCAGAGGAGGAGGGTGATCATGATGATGTCGACGATGATGCTGATACTGATGATGATGATTCTGATGATGATGATGCTGAAGATGATGATGGCGATGAAGATTATCTTGATGTTCATGAGGACGACGATGGCGATGACGACGATGAAACCGATGACGATGCTGATGATGATGATGATGATGACAATGACGATGACGATGACGACGATGCTGATGCTGATGCTGCTGTTGATGAAGACGACGATGATGTTAATAATGTTGTTGATGCTGATGTTGATGATGATAATGACTATGAAGTATGATGAGGACTATGATGTGATGGTGACGATGCTGGTGATGATACTGGCGACGGCGATGATGATGACGGTGATGATACTGATGGTTATGGTGATGATGGTGATGATGAGGATGAGGATGATCATGCTGATGATGATGATCCTGATGAGTACAATGATGCTGTTGATGATTATGGTGATGATGTTAGTGATGCTGATGATGGTGATGATGTTGATGCTGATGCTGATGCTGATGATTATGACGATGACGGAGATGATGCTAAGGAAGCTCATGCGGACGCTGATGCTGATGCAGATGCTGCTGTTGATGCTGATGACGATGATGATGATGACCACGATGATGATGATGATGGTGGTGATGATGAAGAAGAAGATGACGATGCTGATGATACTGATGACGGTGATGATTATGCGGATGATGAAGGTGATGATGCGGATGATGATGCGGATGGTGATGATGATGGTGATGGTGATCATGAATATGTTTTTGATGAGGATGATGTTGATGATGATGGTAATGATGATGACGACAACGACGATGATGCTGCTGATGCTGATGCTGACGATGCCGGTGATGATGTCGATGGAGATGGCGATGGTGACTATGATGGTGATAATGCAGATGATACTGCTGATGCTGTTGATAATAGTGAAGAAGCTGGTGATTGTGATGATGATGGTGGTGATGCTGATGGTGATGATGCTGATGCTGCTACTGATGCTGATTTTGACGATGATGATGATAAGTGTAGTGGTGATGATGATGACAATGACGATGATGATGGTGTTGATGATGATGCCGGTAATGATGACGATGTTGGTGTGGTTGTGGTATTTGCCGCTGAGGTGGATGCTGCTGCTGATGATGATGATGATGATGATGCGGCTGATGGTGCTGATGCTGGTGACGATGATGATGAAGACGGCGATGGCGACGATGATGATAACGATGGCGATGATGATGATGGTGATGATGATGACGACGACGACGGTGATGATGATGATGCTGATGATGTTGATGATTCTGCTGATGCTGATGCTGATGCTGATGCTGCTGGTGATGATGGTGATGATGATGCTGTTGCTGATGATGATGGTGATGATGATGATGCTGCTGATGGTGATGATGCGGATGATGATGCTGATGATGATGATGCTGCTGCTGATGATGATGATGTTGATGAAGATGATGATGATGATGATGATGATGATGATGATGATGATGATGATGATGATGATGATGATGATGATGATGATGATGATGATGATGATGATGACGACGACGACGATGATGATGATGATGATGATGATGATGATGATGATATGATGATGATGATGATGATATGATGACTGATGATGATGATGAATGATGATGATGATGATGATGATGATGATGATGATGCTGCTGATGATGATGAGCTGATGCTGATGATGATGATGATGCTGATATGATGATGATGATGAAGATGATATGATGATGATGATGATGATGATGATGATGATGATGATGATGATGATTGATGATGATGATGATGATGATGATGATGATGATGATGATGATGATGATGATGATGATGAGATGATGAGATGAAGATGATGATGCTGATGATGATGATTGATGATATGATGATGATGATGATGATGATGATGATGATGATGATGATGATGATGATGATGATGATGATGATGCTGCTGCTGCTGCTGCTGATGATGATGATGATGATGATGATGATGATGATGATGATGAGGATGATGGTGAGCGAGTGTGATGGCGATGGTGAGGGGGAGACCTGGTAATCCTTCTCCAGCTTTGGCGGTGCGCCCCCACCAGTCGATGCGTCTCTTGTCCGCTGGGGCCCGTCTCGTTCTCTCCCGCTCGCCTGCCTGTCGTGCGCCTTCCTTTGTCCCTTGCGGGTGCCGCCGCGGCTTCTTGCGGCTTCCTGCGCGACCCCGTCCCGCCTTCTGCGGTCGAGGTCCGCGCACCTGGCGTCGCCCTGTCCTCGAGGCGGGGAGGCCTGAGTCTATTCTAGACGCGTCGTGTAGCCCCACCAGCCCATCCAGAAACGATGCCCAGGCGAGTTGCCCTGGTCAGGGCTGTGGAGGAGCATGCAGTGAAATACGGAGCGTGGGAAGCCCTCATACCCAAAGAGGGGGAGGATGGAGGAGGAATCGGAGGAATCGGAGGAGGAGGAGGAGGTGGAGGAGGAGGATGAGGAGGAGAAATAGGAGGTGGAGGAGGAGAAGGAGGAGGAGGAGGAGGAGGAGGAGGAGGAGGAGGAGGAGGATGATAAGAGTGAGTGGGGGAGGAGGGAGAAGAGAGGCGGAGGATGAATACGCGGATTGTGATAAGGAGGAGAAGGATGAGGGCGAGCAGAAAGGCTTGGATGCCCCTCGGAGTCTCTTCGGATGTCTCTTGAGAGCCTCTTGGGGTCCTTTTGGGGCGTTCTGGGGGCCGCGGTCCCGAGGGCCTCTTGGAGCGTCTTGGGTGCCTCGGGGGAGCCTTTTGGGGCCTCTTGGGGTCTCTTGGGAGCCTCTTGGGGACCTCTTAGGGGGCCTTTTGGGGCCTCCTGGGCGCCTCTTGGGGCCTCCTTGGAGCACTCTTGGGAGCCTTTGGGACACTCTTGGGCCCATTTTAGAGGAGTTCGATCAACGAAGGGGGTGTCCCCAAGCAGCCTCCCCCCTCAGCCCCTAGGAGGCCAAAACTGACCCTTAAAAACATGGTTTTTCCCTTCTCGCCGAGACGCCTCAACGACCCGCGCCCCTGTCCCTGTCCAGGTCCAGGGGAGGGGGCATGGGGCCCTCTCCGAAGGGAAAGGGATAAGATGGCAGAGGGAACTCGCTGAGGCACACGCCCAGAGGGCTGGTGGAATTAGCACCCTGGCGGCAGAAGGCTCTAAACAGCCGAATGAGAGAGTACAGAGAGCATTCTACTGTACTGTACATGCCGGCTGCTACCCCCCTTCTCCTCCTCCTTCTCCTCCTTCTCCTCCTCCTCCTCCTCCTCCTCCCTCCTCCTCAGTACTCCCTTCTCCTCCTCCTCCTCCTGCTGCACTCCTTTTTCTTTTACGTAAATCCTCCCCGTCGCACCCCGAGGCCGGTCGAAGGGGTGGGCCAGGCGTTTCGCCTGAGACTTCCTCACATTTTCTGACCCTAACGGTTAAACGTTGGCAGCGGTTTCACAGATGGATGGCGGGTGGTTCTCAAAATGTGGCTCTCGCTTTAGCGCCGCGCACATTTGTTTTAAATCTGTGCCAGAGTTTCACGGATTGAGGGCGGGTGGTTTTCAAAATGTGGCTCTCGCCTGGGCGCCGCGCGCATTCGTTTTAACAAATTGCAGGAGCTTCGCGGATTGAGGGTGGGTGGTTTTCAACATGTGGCTCTCGCCTTAGCGCCGCGCACATTCGTTTTAACAAATTGCAGGGGTTTCGCGGATTGAGGGCGGGTTGTTTTCAAAGTTGTGGCTCTCGCCTTAGCGCCGCGCACATTCGGTTTAACAAATTGCAGGAGTTTCGCGGATTGAGCGCGGGTCGTTTTCAAAATGTGGCTCTCGCCCTAGCGCCGCGCACATTCATTTCAAACGTTCGCAAGAGTTTCTCGGATTGCGGACGGTTCCTTTTCAAAATGTGGCTCTCGCCCTAGCGCCTCGTACACGTGCAAGAGTTTCACCGGTTCCCATGGTCAACGTGCCAGAAATGAATGGTGTGTTGGAAGGCCCCACGATTGTGAGAGCGCAACAATTCTGTTCATTCGCGGTGTTGAAGTCACAGGAACGGTGTTCTTGCACGGTTCTGGATCACCAAGACGCAAGAGTCATGTTAATTCGGGGTGTTGGAGTCCCGAGAATGGTGTTTTGGCACGCTTCAGGGTCTTCAATGGGTTGCCTCCCAACGAGGCGGATCCGTCAGTGGAAATGAACCCGTGTAGGGGCCTATGAAGAGGGAGCTTGGGGGCAGGGTTGATTTCGAAGGCCTTGCGGCCGATGCCGCCGACCCTGAAGGGAGACAACGACGACAACAGCAACGGCGGCGGCGGCGGCGGCGACGACGACGACGCTGACGTGGGCAAGAGTCCTCAAGGATGCTTCTTGGGGTCTCTTCGGACAGCTCTCGGGGGCCTCTGGGGAGGAATTTTGGGGCCTAATGGGGGCCTCTTGGGGGCCTCTTGGGAGCCTATTGAGGGCCTCTTCGGGCTTCCTGGGGACCTCTTGTGGGCCTCTTGGGGCCTCTTGGGACCCTCTTGTGGCCTTCTGGGAGCCTCTCGGAGCCGAGGGCTCGAAATGTCCGGGTCCCCCGGGGCACTCTTGGAGCCGTCTTGGGAGCCTCTTGGGCCGTCTTGGAGGCGTTTTGGGCTGTCTTGGGGTCCTCTTGGGCTGTTTTGGGGCCCTCTTGGAGGCCTCTTGGGCCATCTTGGGGCGATCTTGGGGGCCTCTTGCGCCGTCTTGGAGCGGCGGAAATTGGAAAAGACGAGAACGCACAAATCTTAAACAAAGAGCAGCGGAAAGTCAATGAATTTGGCCTCTTGGGGCCCTCTCTGGAGTGCTCTTGAAAGCTTCTTGGGGGCGTCCTGGAGGCCTCCTGGGCAGTCTGGAGGACGTGAAGGCGTTTTGGACCGATTGTTTGGCGATTCGGGACTCTCTTGGACTGTCTCGGGGTCCTCTTGGGGCACTCTTGGCTTGTCTTGGTACTTTTCAGCGGCCGAGCCGCGGAATGCGCAGAGGCGGATGCGTATCTGACCTGGACCCCCCCTCCCGGGACGCCCCCTCCCCTCCCCGACGAGGGAGGGATCAAAGGGAAGGGGTTTCCTTTCGATTCGAGTACGACATTGTAACTCTTATTTTGTAAGAAAGTGGTGCGTAATTCGAGGGGAGAGCTGACTGGCGTGAAAAAGCAGGATGCAAAGAAAATGGACGACGGAGAGAGAGCCCCTCGCACACGACGACAGGGTCGTCTTGAGTTCGCACTGGACCCCCTCCCCTTCCTGCTCCTCCCCCCCCTCCGTCCTTTTCCTCCTCGCCGTCGAGGGCGTGGCGGCGGGGCCGATCTGTCTGCCGCTCGACAGGGAAAGCCTGCGCGACGACGACGACGAGGATCTTTCAGGCGACGACGACGACGACGACGACGACGACGACGACGACGACGACGACGACGACGACGACGACGACGACGACGAGGGTCTGTCGGGCGGGCCCAGAAGCGGGGTAATTCGCTCCGTCGGGCGGGCCCAGGAAGGGGCTCCCGAGCGGTCCAGACAGCCTACAGAGCGTTTCCAGAGCGCTCTGGAATGGCCGCGGCGCCCGACGCGTCCTCCTCCAGGACCGCCCCGCCAGATCCCAGAGAGGCCCGATCCGCCGCGGTCCGACGTTCTCTCGACCCTGGGCTCGTCTCCGTCTGGGTCCGGGCCCCTGAGCGGTGCGGTGGCCACACCGTGTCGTGAGTCGGGGGGGGGGATTCGGGGCCACTGCACGGCTCGGGGACCTGGGGCCGCTCTCCGAGGACGCCTCGGGCGACCAGGGCCTCCGAGCTCCCACAACGGCGCGGCGACTGGCCGTGCGGCGAGGACTACGCATTCGGGGCCTCGAGAGGCCACCGCTCGCTCTGTCCCCGCACCGCCTCGGGACCCCCAGGTGCCCGGAGGGCCGGCCCTCTCGCCCTGCAGCCTCCTGCGCGCCCGCCGCGCGGACCTGCAGCCTCCTGCGCGCCTGCCGCGCCGGGGGGGCCCCCAGCGCGCAGGAGGTCGAGAGCGGCCCCCCCCCTCCGAGAGCTGGGCCTGGTCTCCTTCGCCCGTCGTGGTCTGGGCCTCCGGGCCCTCTGAGCCGCATCCTCCCGGCGAGGCGAAGTGTAAGCCCGCTGGGCTGGGCTGCCCCGGGCGCTGGGCTGGGCTGCCCCGGCGGCGCGCCCAGGGGGCAAGCTCGGGGCTCAAGAGACGGGGGTCCATGCAAACGGGGGTCAGCCACAGCGCCGAGTCTTGCAGGATCCTGCAGGGCCAGGGCCGCATTGACCCAGGGTTGGGTGCAGGATCCTGCAGGATCCTGCAGGGGCCTGCAAGGCCTCGCTGACCCGGGCCTGGACTGACCGACGATCCCCGATTGTGCGGGGGTGGGGCAGGCTTAAGTCGGGCACGTGCCTCTACAGGAGGAAAATTCAAAAATGGTCAAAAATGAGTATGCGGACGATCTTTAGACCATGTTTGACAATTTTGGGCATTTTATTATTATTATTATTATTATTATTATTATTATTATTATTATTATTATTATTATTATTACTATTATTACTATTATTACTATTACTATTATTAGCATTATTATTATTATTATTAATATTATTATTATTGTTGTTATTATTATTATTATTATTATTGTTATTATTATATTTTTGTTTAATATGATTGATTTTTCGTTCAAAATCCCCCTGTAGGAGGACACGCCCGACCCAAGGCCCTCGGCCTCCCAAGGCCTCCCGGGGAGGCCCCAGCCCTCTGCCTCTCCTCCCTGGGCCTGCGTCGGGCGTGTCCCTCTGCAGGAGGAAGATTCTCTAAAGCAGTCAACAAATAGTCTGGGGACGACTTTTGACTATTTTTGATTATTCGGACTATTTCGGACTATTTTTGATTATTTTTTGGTCTATTCTTGATTTTTCGCTTAAGATCCCCCTGTGGGAGGACACGCCCGGCCTAACCCTGGGCGCGCCACCGAACCGAGCGACGGCGAGATCGCCCCCATCGGCAGGAGGGCGGCTTCAGCGTGCATGACGCGAGTGGTCAACCACAGTGATTGCCGAGCGTCATTTGCCGTCGTCCCTCGGGGTCCAGCTTCTCTCGCGGCCCCTCGCGGCCGCCCAGGTGGCACAAGTTCGACGGCCCGCCTGGCGGCGTCAAGATGTGGGAGGTGCTCCTCCTCCTCCTCACCCGCCTCCTGCTCTCCCCCTCTTCCTTCTCCTGCCACCCCCCCTCCTCTTCCCTCCCTTCTCGCACCCCTCGTCCGCTCCCCCCCCTGGAAACTTTCGCCAACCATCCGAACACTCCGGAACACGCCCGAGAGCCGCAGGAAGCTTCTGGAGGCGTCCGCGACGCTTCTGGACAGCCTCCGAAGACACCCGAAAACCTTCTCTCCCCTTCTCAACCCTCCTCCCAAGTCGCCCTCCTCCCCTCCTCCTCTCTTCCCCTCCTCCCCTCCTCTCCCCTCCTTCCCCAAGTGTCGCCCTCGGGACCTCTCCCGGGGCGCGTCCTGCCCAGGAGTCCGAGGCGAATCCAGCACAGGAAGGGCGGGTCCCCCGCGAGGCCCCCAGATGTTCCTGCTCGCTCTCCCCAGCAGTCGAAGTGCACCTCCACGTCGCGAGTGACCTTTGTAGGCGCAGAGGTCGTAGCGCACGATACAGCCGCCAGGCTTGCTCAGCAGCCTCTGCACCAAGTCGCATGCCCAGACCTCCGACGTCGCACCCCCTCCGATACAGGGCCCCCAGCAGTCCCCGCCACTTCCCCGGCGCCAGCACGTCGTCCTCGGCAGCTTTTCGGGGCAGCCCCGGACCCGGACATGGGCCTCCAGATGCCCCGCTAGTGGAAGCACGGGCCGTCGTTGTTCATGTCGTTGGAGGCCTGGGTCCCACTTCCCCTCCTCCATCACTTGTGCGAATTTTGTTTGCAGGTTATCTTGCATCATATTCACGGCTACCCGTTGCCATGTTCAGTGCTTGGCCTTCTCTTGTAGTGTTCGGGTCGCACAGCTTCCCTGAGTAGCAGCGGGTCTCTCTTACCCCTCGGACGGGTTCTCGTTTGCGTCTCTTGCTCTTGTCCGCCCTTCTCTTGCTGGCCAGTGTCGCTCGTCCACCCTCCTACCCAGAGCCCAGGGCCATCCGTGGCGTGGGGGCGTATGGGGCCAACAGGGGTCCAGCGCCACACCAGTCCGAGGCTAATCTGCGGCGGACGACGTTGACGATGACGACGACGACGACGACGGCGGCGGCGACGGAGGCGGCGGTGGCGGCGGCGACGACGACGAGGTCGACGACAGCGGCGAAGACGACGACAACGACGTCGAAGAGGTCGACAACAGCGACGAGTACGACGGCGATCTTGACGAAGACGTCGTCGACGATGACCTTGACGAAGATGACGAGGACGACGACGAGGAGGACGACGACGATGCCGTCGACGACTACGACCCCGACGACGATGAGGTTGACGACGACGACGACGACGACGGCAGCGACGCTGAGATCGACGATGGCGGCGACCGCGGCGGCGAACACGGCGGCGACGACGAGGTGATTGCGGACACCGACCAGAACGGCACGTGGCTGTGGGGCCGGGACCGCGGCCCCGGGCCGGGCCCGCCGTCCGAGCGGCGCCGCCGTCGTCGTCGTCGTCGTCGTCGTCGTCGTCGTCGTCGTCGTCGTCGGCGCCGTCGCCGTCCTCGTCGTCGTCGTCGTCGTCGTCGTCGTCGTCGTCGTCGGCGCCGTCCTCGCCGTCGTCTTGGCCGCCGTCGTCGTCGTCGTCGTCGTCGTCCTCACCGTCGCCGTCGTTGTCGTTGTCGTTCTCTTTGTCTTTGTCGTTGTCGTCGTCGTCGTCGTTGTCGTCGTGATCGTCGCCGTTGTCGTGGTCGTCTTTGCCGTCGACGTTTTTGTCGTCTTTGTCGTCTTTGTTTTTTTGCCGTCGTTGTCGTCGCCTCCCTGGTTTCTCCTCAGATCTTGGCGTCGCCACCCCAGTTCTTGGCAGTTTTATTTTTTTGTGGTGCAAATCGAGGCGGCAAGATTTTGCAGCGTCCAACCTGCGGAAGCGATTTCTGGGTTCCAGACTTCAAGTAAATAGCTTTGGATGGAAAGCTGGCCCCGAGGAAGGGGTCGGAAGCCCTGGGGGCCCACGTCAGGAAAAGTCCAGAGGGTACGGAGGGTTTTCGGAGATCTTCACGTGCTGTTTGGAAGTCACCCCCCTCCCTCCTTGTCCTCCTCGTCGTCCTTGTCTTCCTCCCTCCTCCCCCTCCTCGCCTCCTCCACCCTCCCTTCTAAGTGCGACGTCCTCAATCCCGCCGCCGCCGCCGCCGCCGTCGTCGCAGTCGTCGTCGTCGTCGTCGTCGTCGTCGTCGTCGTCGCCGTCGTCGTCGTCGTCGTCGCCGCCGTCGTCGTCGTCGTCGTCGTCGTCGTCGTCGTCGTCGTCGTCGTCGTCGTCGTCGTGGTCGTCGTCGTTGTCGTCGTCGTCGTCATCGTCGTCGTCGTCGTCGTCGTCGTCGTCGTCGTCAGACCGTCCGTACGAAGTCTTGTCGTCGAACGTTTGCGTCCGTCGTTTTGCGTCGACCATCGTTGCGTCGTCGCCAGTCCGTCGTCGTCGTCGTCGTCGTCCGTCGCTCGTCGCGTCGTCGTTGCGTCGTCGCGTTTGCCGTCGTCGTCGTTTGGAGTCTTCGTCGTCGCCGTTGTCGTCGTCGTCGTCGTCGTCGCTCGTCGTCGTCGTCGTCGCCGCCGCGTTGACCTCGGTGTCGTCGTCGTCGTCCGTCGTCGTCGTCGTCGTCGTAGTCGTCGTCGTGGTCGGTCGTCGTTCGTCGTCGTCATCGTCCGTCGTCGTCGTTCGCCGCGTCGTCGTTCGTCGTTGTCGTCGCGTCGTCGGGTCGTCGTCGTCGCAGTTCGTCGTCGTCGTCGCTCTCCCCCCCCCCCAGGGGGGCACCCCCCCCGACCTCGGTGTCGTCGTCGTCGTCGCCGTCGTCGTTGTCCGTCGTCGTTGGTCGTCGTCGTCGTCGTCGCCGTCGTCTCGTCGTCGTCGCCTCTCGTCGTCGTCGTCGTTCGTCGTCGTCGTCGCGTCGCAGTCGTCCGTCGTCCGTCGCTCCTCGACCTCGAGTCGTCGTCGTCCTGTTTCGTCGGTCGCCGTCCGTCGTCGTCGTCGTCGTCGTCGTCGCTCGGCGTCGTCCGACGTCGTCGCGTCCGTCGTCGTCCGTCGTGTCGTGTCGGTCGTTTGTCGTCGTCGTCGCAGTCGTCGTCGTCGTCGCTCTCGACCTCGGCGTCGACGTCGACGTCGTCGCCGTCCGTCGTCGTCGTCGTCGTCGTCGTCGTCCGGTCGTCGTCGTCGATCGTCGCCGTTGTCATCGTCGTCGTCGTCGTCGTCGGTCGTCGCGTCGTTTGCGGCGGTGGCGGCGGCGGCGGCGACGTCGTCGTCGTCGTCGTCGTCGTCGTCGCTCTCGACTCGTCGTCGCGTCGTCGTCGCGTCGTCGTCGTCGCAGTCGTCGTCGTTCGTCGCTCTCGACCTCGTCGTCGTCGTCGTCGTCGCCGTCGTCGTCGTCGTCGTCGTCGCCGTCGTCGTCGTCGTCGCCGTCGTCGTCGTCGTCGTCGTCGTCGTTAGCGGCGGTGGCGGCGGCGGCGGCGTCGCCGTCGTCGTCGCCCGCGGCAAGGATACCCTCGGGCGGGTGTGGCGCCGGACCCCCGACAGCCCGTACGCCCCGATGCCGCGGAGAGCCCGGGGCCTAAGGGGGGAAGGAGCGGCAGGCAGGAGGGGGAGGAGGGGGAGGGGGAGGAGGGGGAGGAGGAGGGGGAGGAGGAGGAGGAGGAGGGGGAGGAGGAGGAGGAGGAGGGGGAGGCGGAGGAGGAGACGAGCGGAAGCCACCGTGACTCACTGCTTCCCAGACCTGCCGCCGGGAGGCCGTGCCGGCGCGCCAGCCGCGGGAGCTCCGCACCCACGGCCGCGCGCAGCCAGGCGCACCAGGCCTTTGAGGGATCGAGAGTTCTACATCTCTGCTTCGGCGCAAGGCAGCTCGAGGGTGGTGGAAGCTGGCCGAAGCCAAGGAAGGCTCGGGCATTGGCGACGGGCCCCGCTTCCGTATGGAATCGGCGCGCTCCGTCGCCGAGTTGGGCGGCATTGGCCTCATGTTTCGGGGGGTGCTCTCCTCGATCGGCGGATTCGGCGCCCACGCGCCAGGTCCACGGATTCGTAATTCATGCTAGCGTGTATAGACCTTCTGTCGCGTTCTTTTCACGACGCGTGGGGGTCTGGGACTTGGGATCACGACGCCTCATGGGCATTGTCAATCGACAGTCCTTCCAGTCAGTGTCCATCTGCCGGTTGTGCTGCCGATTGGTGGGCGCTCCAGCTCAACGGCGGGCAGGCGGACCGCAGGCCGAGCAGTCGAATCTGGGTCGTGCGCCCTGTGATCCTTGCATGGGCGCCCCAGCGGTATCAGCCCAGCGCGGGCGGCCTCGCTTCGTCGCCAGCGCCGCGGCTGCCGCTGCTGCCGCCGCCGTTCGTCGTCGTCGTCGTCGTCGTCGTCGTCTTCGTCGTCGTCGTCGTCGTCGTCGTCGTCGCCGCCGCCGCTGCCGCCGCCGCCGCTGCCGCCGCCACCGCCGCCGCTGTCGCCGCGTCGTCGTCGTCGTCGTCCTCGTCGTCGTCGTCGTCGTCGTCGTCGTCGTCGTCGTCGTCGTCGTCGCCGTTGTCGTCGTCGTCGTCGTCGTCGTCGTCGTGGTGGGAGTCCTTGCTGCGGAGGGGGTTGGGGACCCAGGAAGCCCTGGGGCACGACTACCGACCGGCCACGGGGGTGCCTCAGATCCTGGCGCCGCCGAAGAGAAGGATCGGGCCTGCCAGTTCCCCATCAGGTTCTGGCATCTGAGGACACTCTTCCAGTTGTATTGCTCTCTTCGTTTGCCTGGCGCAGCTCCGCTGCACCGTTGCGGTGTTCAGCCTCGCTCGAGGTTCGTGCAGTCGTGGCCGCCTTGTTGGATGGGAAAGAAACAAACAAGTCCGACATCTGAAGGCACGCTTTTCCAGGCTCAGGGGCTGCCAAACTAAACAATCGGGATGAAGAGCTCGTCTTGTGGAAGGAGCCGAGAGTCACGGGCTGGAAGAGTCCGTCCGCAGACCTGTCGGTCCGCGACAGTTCTGCGGGGCGAGACCCCCCAGGGCCACTGTGGCATGAGCAGAAAAGGCGTTTGTAGAAAGGCCTGGTCCTAGTCTTAAGTCGGGCGTGCCCCTCTACAGGAGGAATACTCAAAACATAGCAAAGAATTAGTCAGGGGACGATTTCTCCACCATTTTTGAGCTTTTCTGTTGTGTTTTTTGTTCGACTATATTTATTATTTCGCCCAAAATCCGCCTGTAGGGGGACATGCCCGACCTAGTCCTAGTCGCCTAGCTGGGGGCGGCGCAAGCGGCGCACAACTCAGGCAGGGCATAAGTGGGGCACCACCGCCACGATCAGCGGGCACAGCTGCCCCAGGCAGGGCGCAAGTAAGAGGCCATACACTTCATGAATGCTTGGCCTCCTGCAGCCCCCGATAGTATCCGGTGCTGTCAGAAGTGACCCTGGCCCAACGTGAGTTCAGCTTCTCAAGGGAGGCCCATATGGCCTCCAGAGCGCTCCTCGAGAGGCCCGGCGGGCCAACGGGGTTCCAAAATGGCGCGAGAAACTGAGGGCACCTCGGGCCAGGACAACCTCTGGCAAGCTCCGAAAGTCAGGGCGGACTCCCAAGCGCCCCAGAGCTTCGACGTGATTTTTCACAGCGTGGATCCCCTGAGGTCTGGACCTGCTCACGGTGGGGCAGGCTCTGCATCCCGCGTCGTTCTCTCTGGCGGGCCCCTGGGGCCCAGCGAGGGCCCCCGTCCGGAGGCCGAAGACTGCTGCGCACACTCCGTCGTCGTGACTTTTTCGCGGCGTGAGGAGGTTGGGGACTCCGCCGCACTGGGGCGACGAGATCTAGACGCATCCACTGCTCCTGGCCAGGCGCAGCCTGGGCCCAGGAGCGGCGCATACGCCCTCCTGGCTTGGTAAGGGAGGCATACACACCGCTCCTGGGCCTGGGATGGGCCTGGCCAGGAGCGGTGGATATGTTCAGGCCTCCGACATGGGGTCGGAGCAGATGGGGTCGGAGGATCGCGCCGCACCGCCGATGCATGGCCGATGCGGCTCAATACGGAGCCCGATTTGCTTCACGTCGTCGTCGCCGATGCATCGCCGACGTCGACGATGCGTCCCCGGTGCACTCCCAATGCATCGCCGATGCATCGGCGATGCGGCGCGATCCACCCACCCCGTCTACTCCGACCCCATGTAGGAGGCCTCTGAGATGTCAAACATTCGCTGCTTGGAGTGGTTTCGATATACAACAAGCTGCCGCCAGACATCGTGGAGTCTTCGTTCAGCGTGTCAGAGTTTCAGAGGGAGGGCGTTGCAGCGTCTCATCACTGACGCCGCGCAGGCAGGCGACGACGACTAGTAGCACGCTTTTTGCCCGTGCGTGCCGTGGCACTGGCATCCGCTCAGGAACTATATTAGAGTCGGGCATGTCCCTCTACTGGAGGAGTATTCAAACATAGTCAAACATAGTCAGGGGACGTTGAGCATTTTTGAGCATTTGTTGAATATGTTTTGAGTATTTTGATTTTTTCGTCCAATATCTCCCTGCAGGGGACAGGCCCGACCTAAGACTATATCTAACAACACATGCGTTGCTTGTAAAACGTATATAGATCTCGTCGCCCTGCGCACCGCGGCCCCCCTGGCTGGCTCGAGGCGGCCGCCTGCCGCCCCTCCCCCCCCGTGGGCGCGCGCGTACGCGCCCGCGCCTCGTGCGCGGCAGCGGGCGGCCATGGAGGCCGTGCCGGCGCGACGGTGGGTACGTGTAGTCAGTATCGTTAAGTCGGGCGTGTCCCTTAAACAAATAATCAGGGGACGATTTTTAGAGTATTTTTGTTTTTTTTTGGAGCATTTAAATCTCTACGTCCAAAATCCGCCTGTAGGGGGACAGGCCCGACCTGAAGGCAGTATCGTTTAACCGACTCCCATCCCCATCCTCATCCCCTTCGAGACCCCCACCAAATTACCACCCCAGTTGGGGATGCACCCCTCGAAACCAGAAGGGAATGGCCTACATCCCCATCTGGGGGGGTAAATCGGCCAGTGGGGCCCAGGCCAGGCCGCTGGGGATGGGGGTCGGATAAACGATGCTCACGTAGGCCGGAAGACCTGCGTCGCGACCGCCGGCCCGGTTTCCACGCTCCCCACCCCGTTTCAAGGGCAACGATAGGGGGGATCGGCATGGGGGGTGATGCATCGACCCCCAATCGCCCATTGATCGCCGACAGAGGCCCGATAGCCCCAACCTGCGCAGGAATGTGCGGATTCACTCTCGGGGGCCTGTCGCCGACCTATCAGGGCGATGTTCCCGCCCATATGCCTATCCCCCTCCCTGTCGTTGCCCCTCAACGTTTCAACTACTCGTAAGAGTGATCCTTCGCCCGAGTGACCTTTGGTGCGGGCTCATCGGGGTTCCCGCGATCGCTGAGCGCGATGCGTTAGCGGCTGCACGCGCGCCTGGATTTGGCCACCTTTGCGTCTAGTCCGCGCACCAGAAGTCACTCTTGGCTAGGCTTACTCTTGCGTGTAGCCGAACTTTCCCCTGCAGATCAAAAAGTGTAACCGAACTTTCCGGGACCATCGAAACGGGTACGGGAAGAACAGAGACGAAGACCACCACCCGTTCCCGACCATTCTGAGCAGGGTTCGTGCCATTGTTTCCGCACCCATCTTGGGCGTGCCAGCCCTCCTTCTTCTCCTGAGACCCAGCGGTCAGGAAAGGAGTTCGATGGGCGTCTTCGCCCCGCTCCAGACCATCAGAGGCCCTCACAGGTCGATCCGGATGGAAAGGTGGGGCTGCATCATGGGGTCGAGGGCTTTAGCCGTGATCTTCCACGACCTCGCGTGTGACGTTTCACGATTTCGTGGGAAAGCAAACGATGTCGTAACTCGGGGTCCTCGAGGGAGGCAATCGACCCAGGCCTCTGTTGTCATGATTCCATCAACATCGCGCGGGCTTCTGCTCTCGTTCGTATGGACTTCACCCCAGGGATCTTTTTCTTGCGGCCCTCTGGAGGCCCGAACTCAGAATAATCTGTGGCTCCCATGTTTTCCAGGACGCGAGAGATCTGTGTTGGGTGTCTGAGTGTGCGCCACCAGGGTCCCTCACGAAGGTGGACGCACCCCGCTGGGGCCCGGCTGCTGGCGTGGGGCCTGGCGCTGCAGCTGCACGGCGGTGTGCTCGGGGACCCGGTGCTCCTGGCCAGGCACTCCGTCCGGTCGCCTCCGGACATCACCTCACTGGCGAACGAGTGGTTCCTGGGTGGCACGATGATCCCCAACGGGAGGAACCTGGTCTTGAGCCCAGGGGTCCCAGGTCGCATCGGGATGATGTGGAGCCTGTACCCCCTGCTCACGGCCGACTTCGAGGCCACGATGACGTTCCAGGCCACGAAGCCGGAGATCAGGCCAGCCCCGACCCCAGACAGCACGTACCCCACCGATGACGGCTTCGCTTTCTGGTACGTATACGAAAATGTAACGGCCGCCCAAGCGCAGGTGGTCAAGGAACATGCGGAGGATCAGCAGCAGATGATCGATACCAGCTGGCCGCTGGAGGTTTTGAGCAAAGGTTTCGACCGTTTTGGCTACAAGACCGCCTACGACGGCCTCGGCGTTTTCTTCGTGGACGGCGACCCAGCGGACAAGAACGAGCCTTACGTGGCCGCCCTGACGAACAACGGCGGGAAGATGGAACCCCGTCTGCCTCGCGACTGCGCCACTTGTCTGAAGCACGACTGGAGCACGGGCGAGGAGATCGTGGTGAAGCTTCGGGTGCAGAGCACAGGCGCGCAGGTCGAGGTCGTTGGCAAGGGCTCAACAGCAGTCAGCGCTCAGTTTAAGGCGGGGGGGTACATTGGCTTCTCCCTTCTCAGCGGCTTCAGGCCCGGCGGCTTCGCCCCCAGCGTTCGGTCCACCTACGTCGAGCTGAAGAGCCTGCAGGTTATGAACCACGACACGTCCGCAGCGGGTGAGCAAGAGCACGAGGTGAGGGCCAGGGCGGAGAGGGGCGAGAAGGAGGACCTCCTCGCGGGCTCCTCGTCATTTCGCGACCACCGCGCGGAGTCTGACGCCATCAAGGACTTGACCAACATGGTGTTCAAGGTGGTAGCCGAGTCCGAGCCGCAGAGGACGGCGATGGCGGCGACCATCAAGACCGTCACGAAGCGCGTCGACGCCTTGGAGGTCACTTTCCGGCAGCTTAGGAAATTGATCGAGGAGAAGTCGGGCGACGACATGGCCACCAATTTCGAAGCCATCAAGGCGGAGCTCTCGTCGCTCTCGAGCGTGACGGCAGAGCACACGATGGACAGGCGCAAGAAGATGGAGGCGCTGCACTCGGACATAGCCCACGTGCACAGATCCGCGCACT